ACATGTCCGGAATGAAAAAGTTTGGACCGCGTGCATCCACATAATGATTGCCGGGCGGCGCCTGCTGCTGCTGCGGCTGCTGCTGATAGCCCGCGTAGATGTTGTTGCCCGGCTGCGCATGATCGTGCGTCGACGACGACGACGCCGACGGCGGCGGCGGCGTGTGCATATGCTCCTGATCCGCGCCGGGCATGGCAATGCGTTGCGCCATCAGAGAAGGTATCGACTTCGATTGGGGCGTGCCAGGCGCTTGCTGCTGCTGCTGCTGTTGCTGCTGAAGCTGCTGCTGTGCCTTTTGTGCAACAAGAATTTGTTTCTCCAGCTGCAGCTTCTGCTGCTCCAGCTGGGCTATTTGCTGCGTGGCATGTTGCATAAAGATCTGATGCTGTTTCTGATAGCTGTAAGTGGGAATATTGTTTGAATTGATTGATTGCAATTAAAACCACTCTCCCACTCACTTGTCCAGCGTGGCCTTTGTGCTCTGCGTATATTTGGCGACAATATCATGATGCGTATTCTGCAGATTCGTTTTGTACTCCTGCATGGATGAGTCCGGTGATTGCAGCTTGGAGATGACGCACGCATCAAAGAACTTGGCCTTCGATTCCCACAGAGACAACAGCTTGGACAACTTCTGGCGCTGATCATTGTTGGCAACTAGGTAAAAACAGAAATTCAAGGCATTAGTATGGAGTCAGACATGGAAGAAGGCTCTGCTGGATGCTTACTCAAGTCCGCGCTGCAGAACATCGGTATTACGACATTCTCGAGGCTGTTCTTCAAATCGCTGATATTTTTGCGCATGCTGTAAAATAGATTTTGGCGCTTAAACAAAAGTGTGCCGGCGTCTCGAACGAATCTCAGCTCGACTGAAGCCCAAAGCTTGTTTGTCCGTCCGTCCGTCTATCTCTCCGTCCGTCCGTCCGTCCGCCTGCCCGTCCGTCCGTCCGTCCGTCCGTCTGCCCGTCCGTCCGTCCGTCCATCTCTAAGCAGCAATATTTTGCTTTGCCTATTATCTATAATCGTTACCTAAAATACCCTTGTAGAGTGTAATAGAATCAGGGACTGCCTGAGGTGAAGTTGCTGGTTCGATTTCCGCTTCGAACCAGCTGCCTGCGGTTCCTTTTATCTCATATATTTTCACAATTTTAATTTACATTCAATTTTTACTGTACATTTGCCCTTTCCACTGAAAATAGTGCAAATTTTAACTATTTTCATATAGAAATTGTGGGCTATATTTAGGATTTGCAATGTTTTTCAATTCCTTTTGCAGTCTTGATCATAATTTTGTCAGGGAATGTTAAAGGAAATGTTCAAATAAATAAAAGTGAATTCAAATTAATTTTACATCGGACCACAGTACCATAAATCTACTATAGCATCTGTACTAGTTAATATGCCAGCCTAAAGTCTGTTACTTAGTTTAATTTTGTTTATTTTTTTTTATGGCTATTGCGATTTGTGTTGATTTTTGCGAACTTACCAATGATGGAGTATATCATTAACTAAATATATAAGATGCAATTTTTGCTGAAACGTTGAACCATTGAGCAAAGCCCTAAAAATAAATTAACAAACGAAAAAAACATATTTTTTTGTCCATATTTTCTTCTTTTTGTTTTTTGCTGTACGCACAACAACATTTGCCAAAGTGTTTGTTGTGCTGCGTGTGTGTGTGTGTGTGTGTGTGTGTGTGAGTGTTGTTTTGTATGTGTGTGCGTGTGTGTTAATGAGTGTGTCTGTGTCTCTGTGTGTGTGTGTTGTGGGTTAACTAAGCAACTGTTTATTGCCGCCTAACTACGCTCAAGACTCAAGAAATAATTATTGAGCCTCGGCTGCATCTTCAATATGTCTCTCTCTCTCTCTCTCTCTCTCTCTCTGTTTTTTTTTTAAACGAATCAACGAATTAGTTATTTTTTCAACGAGTCGACTCAGCGAGTAGGCGACACTCGCTCTCACGACTCGCTCGACTCGCACTCGCTCTCTTGCACAAGATTTCGGACTCTCTCGCTTCGTATTCGCATTCGCATTTCGTTACGTTTCGATTTCGTTGCGTTTCGATTTCGTTTCGTTTCTCGTTTAACACTCGTTGAAAGAAAGAAACACATGTAATTAATAAATGTTGAAAGATCATTGATTATATATATAAACTGAGGCATACTTCTTTAAAAGATATTGTAAAACGACATTGATTTTTGCGCTGTCGGTTGAATGCTGTAAAATCCAGTTCTTGCCTAAAATTGCAATATCAAACGGGTTACTCATATTGTCATTGTCTCTGGCAAATTAAGTTTATGAAAAAAATGTTTATCAGTTGTTTTTTTTTTTTTAATTATACAAATTTGGAATTTCTTTTGCAGTTTGTCTAGCTCAAAACGCATTTAGTTAGATTTAAATACTAGATTTAGGCACTCGCTTTAGCTAGCTATAGATACATATATATATATATTTACCTGCCGAGATGCTGTCCTTGGTGCAGGACTCAATGATCGGCTGCAGGATACCATCGAATTCCCGCAACACAATGCCCTGCTCGTTGGCCAATTGCTCCAGCTGTGTCGTCTGGGCCGCCGCCATCGCATCGTCGATTTGCTTTGTCTTTTGTGTCATCAGCGCCTAAAGGTTTCACATTCGTTTCGTTTCGTTTCATTTCATTCGTTTCGGTGATTTGGTGTTCGGTTTTGGCGTTGATTTATAGTTTTCGTGGCGCGCGCATAAACATTTTGATTTTGATTTGTTTTCAGATTTCAAGAGCGACAATAAACGAGGATTTCGTTTATTTAATTTTAATAATTATTTGAATTTTGTTTTTTTATACACATTTTTTTTTTTTTTGTTGGTATGAAGAGTGGTTTCGTATTATTATTTGAATTTTTTTTTTTTTTTAGGTTTTATGTTTCAAAAAATATACAATAAAGCAAAAATTTAATGTAGCATTGTAAAATTGTTAATTCGATAGGTAAAAAATTAATATAAACATATTGAAAATCGTGATTCATTAAGTTAAATGCAGTTGTATAAAAGCTGAAAGTATATATAATTATATATACACATAATATATTCGGGCCAGACGAGCAACTGTAGAATAATACCACAAACACACGCTTAACGGAGACATATTTCCCGATACAAAGCAGGAGAGGAAGACCAGACCAGGTGAGGTTCATACAAAGCCGTGGTATAACACGATTTCAGAAATTTGAAGGGATTTATTGACCATAATATGCTACGATTGAAAGATCGAAATGTGAAAGAAGCAGAAAGAGAAGTCATGTTCGTAATGCCGAAGATTCAATAATCTTGCGGACATACATTGGATTTGCAATTTATTTAGCAATTTTAGTTGTCTTTCGTCTTGGGGTAAGATTTTCGTTTTCTAATAGAAACATTGTGTAGCTGCTAATTGAAGAATTTGGGCACGATATCTGATAAATGATATAATAAACCGCTTCGATAAATGTGCGAAAAAGGGGATTTATGCAATGATAACAACAGAACTGAGACTATTTGGTATAGATCAACGGGACTCTGGATCAAGAAGATCTATAAATATCTTAAAATACGAATATTCAAATAAATGTTAAGGGATTGAAAAGGAAACAGAATGGAATGGACTGAGAATGGACCGAATAACAGGCCTTTTAGATGGAATATATAACCATAGATATTGGTTACACTTCTATAAACATTAGAACTGGGCACAAAAATACAAACAAGTGTCAAAGGACCAAAGCCAAAGGCATGTTTTCTGAGCATAAAGTGGAAACGTTTTGGTGGAAACGTGTTTGCGGGATCTCATTTAAATTTAAATAGTGTTGACAAGTCAGCAATTTTCTAGCTTAATTTGTGGCTGTTTTCAGTGGAAATTTCGCAACCCTGTTAATTGGATGCAGGCAACTTTTTGAAGCGGCCGTCAACACTGAAGTAAAGCTGCTTTCCTTTAGGGCGAACTCTCACGAGATGTTTTGGCAAAAATAAATATATGTATGCATGTTTATAGAGAAGGAGTCACACCTGTGAAGAGAGAGCAAATAGTATTCAGTTATTTACCGTATGCTGTGCGGAAAGATTCGCATCCGATTGTTTAATCTGATCCCGCAGCGTATTCTGTTGGATTTTGATCGCATCCAATTGTGTGGCCAGGCTCATGGCTAGCGCACTGCCGTTTGCTGATTGGGGATTCGCTGGCGCTGGACCTGGGCCGGTTGCCGGACTCGCGCCTGCATTGGGCGGCCAGATATGCTGAGATTTCTGTTGCGCCTGCTGCATGCTGTCCTGGACATTGTCATGCATGTTGGTCGGCTGTTGCGTCGCATAGTGTGCGTGAGTTGGCGGCGGTTGTTGCATATAGAGCGCACCTGTGGGCATGCCGCCCTGTTGTTTCAGCACTATAGGGAAACGTTCAGTGAGAACCGGAATAAATGTATAATTTGTCGCTTACGTACTTGCTTGCTCCGCTGCCACACGGAACTGATAATAGCTGGCGAATTCGCCGCCATAGAGAAATTCAAACTTTGGATTATTCTGTTGCTTTTGTTTGGTAATTGCTTCGAACTCGGGTCCATTGCGTGCCACAAATTCGGCCAATTTATCAATTATATTGCGTAAACTTGCATCTGTAAAACAGGTAAAAAAGCACATCAATTTTTTTTTAGCTGAGTTCTGCAACGTGCGTATGTGTGTGTGCGGGCAAAGATTTTGCAAACATTCAGCTAACCTCTTGGGGGTTGAACATCCATTTTGCTTAGTATTCTGCTTTTTTTTTACAAACTAGCTATTTTGTAGGCTAAGGCTTAAATAATCATAACTTTTAACAATTAATTCATCACTTTTTGCGGCGACCGCAAAGAATTTTTATCAGCACTCTTCTTCTTGCTTCTATTCAGACGCCATATTTAGAGCTGGAACGTTTGCAATTGGCCGTTTATCGATAGGTTTCGATAGAGAGAATCTCCGAAGAAGCCAAAATCGAGTAAATCGCTTTTCTTTTTGTAAAACCTGCCAGTCATTTTGCATTTTATTCAATTTTTTGAGAAAGTGAACATGGCAGTACGTGTTATTAACGACGAATCACATTTTCAAGCGGAGTTAGCTCAGGCAGGAGTACGCCTGGTTGTTGTAGACTTTACAGCAACATGGTGCGGACCCTGTCAAAGGATTGCGCCCGTGTTTGACACGTTTCCCAGTAAATATCCCAAAGCCATATTCCTGAAAGTGGACGTGGACAAATGTCAGGACACAGCCGCCGGCCAGGGTGTCTCTGCTATGCCAACTTTCATATTCTATCGCAACAGGACCAAAATCGACCGTATTCAAGGCGCCAATATAATGGGTTTGGAAGCCAAAATAGAGGAGCATATTGGCACCGGCGTCGCCGAGGAGGCCGGCGAAGACTATGGCCAGGGTTTGGTAAGACCATCATATACATATACCAAATGTTTTTCACAACATGACTCACACACACACACACACACACCCACACAGATGGAGCTGAATACGTTCATCTCGAAGCAAGAGTGCGAGTGCTTGAATGAGTCGGACGATCACAATCTGAAGCATGCTCTGGCGTCGGCTGGTGGCTATCTGCAGTCCGACTGCGATGAACAGCTCATTTTGTCCATAACCTTTAATCAGGCCGTCAAGATACACTCGCTGAAGTTCAAGGCACCGCCACAACTGGGCCCCAAGGAGGTGAAGCTGTTCATCAATCAGCCGCGAACCATTGACTTCGACATGGCGGAATCCATGAGCAGCGTGCAGGATCTGACGTGAGTTGGCCACTAATTCAGCTAATTGGAAATGTTAACTTATATTTGTATTTGGGGCAACTTGCAGCCTGGGCGAGAAGGAGCTGGAGAGCGGCAATCCCGTCAATCTGCGCTACGTCAAATTCCAGAATGTGCAAAACATACAAATCTTTGTAAAGAACAATCAATCGGGCGGCGACATAACCCAAATCGATTATATTGGCTTTATAGGCTCGCCCATTATCACAACCAAGATGACGGACTTTAAGCGTGTCTCCGGCAAAAAGGGCGAAAGCCACTAAATCGATTAGCTTGATATTAAATTGAAGTTCTAGTGTTTTCCCCATCTTATTAACCAGGCTTGCTCCTTGTACTTTCGACTTAAAATTAAGCAAAAAAAAAAAACGTATAGAAATGCATTAACAATGACAACTAATAACAAATAAAACAACTCAAGCTGGCAATTATTAATATCGCCCATCACAGGCTGCTGTGCGTCCGGCCGTCCAGCTCCTTGTTGAGCATTTGCCAGGCGCGCTCCGCCTGTCGCTGCGTAAAATCAAAGTCCCACTGCGAGCTGAATATAACTTGGGACTTGGCCACAATATCGGCGTTGGGAACTTGACTGGCGAGACGTTTGCGTGCCTCCTCCTCGCTGAGGTTGTTGCGTTCCATGACACGCTTGATAGCCTCCTCGGGCGGCACGATCATGGACCACACCTCATGGCAATTGGGCTCCCAGCCGGCTTTCAGCAGCACAGCTGCCTCCAGCACCACCACTTTGGGCACCTGGCTGGCGGCGCGCAAGTTCGCCAGACGTCTATTCACCTCCACCATCAGCTCCGGCCAGACAATGGAGTTCAGCGTGTGCAGCTCCTGCGGATTACCAAACACTCGGGGCCCCAGCTTGGTGCGATCGATGCGCCCATCGCTGGCCAGTATCTCATCCCCAAAGTGCTTTAGTATCTTCTCATAGCACGTCTGACCCGGCTCGTATACATCGTGCGCCACCTTATCACAGTCGATGACATGGGCGCCCATGTCGCCCAGGCGCTCGGCCATTTTGCTCTTCCCCGAAGCAATGCCACCCGTCAGCCCAATGATGTAGGGACGCACGGGCAGCTGAGGACGTGCCTGTTCAAAATAATTACAGATGAGAAGCTTGCAAATGCCGAGAAATAGTGAGGGGAGTTTACCTCCGGCTGGCGCCAGCGTGTGCCCAGCAGATCGATGCGCGTGTTGCTGGAGCTGACCTTTGACTCGTGTATGCCATCGTGCACATTGCTCTCGACAATATCAATTGCGAAGATATCCAACTGACGCAGCTGTTTGCTGGCCCTTATCTCGTTGACCTTTTGGCCGCCACGCAGCGTCTCGGCGCTGACGACAATCATGTCCATGTCCGGATCATGCTGAGTCGGCCCAAAGGGATCGTCGATGGGCACAATATCATATTGCAAGGTATTATCAATGTCCAAAAGGAATTCGCGCAATTCAGCAATACGCTGCTCCACGGGCAATATTAGTTCCGGCAATATTTTGCCTAAAAATAGACGCAAGTGATAAGCGAGATAAGAAAGGTGGCCGTTCATGTTAGTTTACCCTTAGTCATTGCGGCCGTGGTGACGCCCACCACCAGACGTTTGCAGGTCCGGAGCACGGCCTGTGTGAGGAATATCTTATGGCCAATATGGATGCGATCGAAGGTGCCGCCCAATACCACTGTCGGGTAAATTTGCTGACTGGCCGGCTGGCCTTCTGCTTCTGCAAGCTGTGCGTCCGTACTGTTAGTATCCCCCAGAAAAATCGTTGGCTGACTTATGTTAAGCGCACGGCGCAGCCTATCGCAAAGCTCCGGCTGATGTGTGTCCGAGAATATCATATCAACGGGCTTGCATAGCTGCAGAGCGCAGGCTGCCGGATGCTGCTTGAGCGGTGCCACCAGCACGCGCAGATCCACCTTATTGCCCACATAGCTGCTGCTGTCCGCATACAACTGTGATATAAGACGACCCCAAACAGGTGGCGGCGGCGTTGACGTGGGCACATTTAAATGTATGTACAGCGAGTGAACGTATTTTTCAATGCTGCGCAAGGATTTGCCCAATTGTTTAATGTTGGACACGACCAGCAGTCCAGTTGAAGCCATCTTATTGTGTTTCCTTCGGCGAAGCCAGTTAACCGCGGTACCCTGTGCACTTTGGACTGGGATTGTTATTGTCCCACCGATATATCAATATAATCGATAAGTGTTGGACAACGTCTATCGCATTGCAATCAGAGCTGCCACTTGGCAAAACTATTTGGTACCAGAAATGTAAAGTGTATCATTTTCGAAAATTGTGTACGATTTGAATACAAGATGTTTCTAAAAGTTCAAAACATAAATGTATTAAATTTAGCGAATTTCACTTTCTATGAAAGCAAGCATAATATTTTGCATATAAATCTAGTAAACTTTGATTAAGTTCATAGCAATTTCATACAGTTTAAAGGCTTTTTAGGATAAAAGGTACCATTTAGTATACGATTGAGCCCGTGAGTAACTAATGTACCAGTTTGTACCAAACGATTGTACCAACCATGGTAACCGTGATTTCAATAGAAATCTATCGATAAATATTTACATATATCGCAAAAGTGTCTCGTGTGTAGTACACCCACCACTGAAGAAAAAAGTTTTTCACGAATTTTGTAGCATTTTTATAATTGTAATAAAAAAAAAGCGACGCAAAATGTCACGACAAGCCTCCAGATTGGATGCCAAGAAAGTGGTAAGTTAACCACTGAAAGCAGGCTATAGACGACGACGACTAAAGGTCGCTAGATTGTAAGATTAGCTATTGTTTGGCCTAGTCTAAGTACGAACCAATTGAAGTGCCACCCACCCTCAAAATCGGCTTCACATTCGCTTTTGCAGTAAGTGAGGGCGTGAGAGGGAAACGAGGCAAACAAAATAGCGCAACCTGCGCGCTATGGATAACCATTTTAGCAGTAACCGCACAACAGCCACAGCAACAAGAATGAGCAACGCTGCCGCCAGCAGCAGCAACAACAACAACAACAGCAGCAATGTGAACAGCGCGACGGGCAACAATGTGAATACGGCAACGGCCACAGTTGGCGTCGGCAATGCCGGACAGCCCATACAGGTGATACCGATGCCGCTGCTGCCGGCGGGCGCAGCCCAGATCATAATTGGCCAACAGCCGCAGGCACAGGCCGGCGGCGGTGCGGCGGGCGGACTGCAGCCGCAATTGATACCCTTGCAGGCGAATCAAATAATGCTGCAGGCGCAACAGCAGCCCCAGATGCAGGTGATGCAGCTGCCCGATGGCCAGACCATATTCTATCAGACGCCCACGATCACACAGCTCGATCCCAATGCGGCGGCGGCAGCAGCAGCGGCGGCCGCAGCGCCACATTATCTCAATATCAACGGGCAATTGGTGCAAATCACGGCGGCGCCCAGTGCTGGCCAAGCGGCGCCCACAGCGGGACAACAGATCATAATGCTGCCGCAAATGACGACCGTAAATGCGGCTGCGGTGGCTGCCAATGCAGCCAACAATGTGGCCCAGAACAGCAACAATGTGCAACAGCAACAACAACAACAACAGCAGCAACAACAACAACAACAAGCTCAGGTGCAGGTGCAGCTGCAGACGACGACGCCGAGCACGTTGGGAGCCGGCACAAGCGCGAGCAATGCGAGCAGCGCCGATGTCAGCACCAGCACAACGGGCACGAACACAAACAGCGAGGATGATGATAACTCCAAGGGCGAGGCGGACGAGGAGCCGCTCTATGTGAATGCCAAGCAATATAAACGGATATTGATACGGCGGCAGGCACGCGCCAAGCTGGAGTCGCGCATCCCAAAGGAGCGCTGTAAATATTTGCACGAATCTCGGCATCGGCATGCCATGAATCGGGCGCGCGGCGAGGGCGGTCGCTTTCATTCCGCCCAGGAGAAGGGCGATCAGTCCGCCGGCATGGATGGTATCAGTCTGCCGCTGGCCGCGAGCGGCGGTGCAACGCTTAGTCGAGGCACCGCGCGGGCGCCGCCCAAACTGATAGCACCGCACCAAACGCCGAGCATAACCATAACGGCCATCAAATCGGAATAGGCGGCGGGGCCGACGATTGCATAGTTTGTTGTAGATAACACCTAACATAGTTCTGTAAACTTAACATAGCCATGTAGTCGTATATGTTAAGTCTAATGTTAAGCTCAGGTCATGATTCGTTTTTTTGAACTGTACACAATTGCAAATATATTTGTATTTATTTAAAAGTGTGTGCATAGCGGTGCGTGTTTCCTCCCGAGAATGTTGTATGTAACAGCGCTGACCATGGAAATGTGTGTAAAAATAATTAACCCCAGGCTGAATTTTCCCAAAACAAAGACATTTCCATCCTTGCGGATGCCAAAAAGAACACGCGCTGTTAACTTAACAGCACTGTTAACTTAACAACACTGTTAACTTAACAGCACTGTTAACGAGCACATTTGTTAAACATAACCTACAAAAAAATAGTTGTACAAACGGAATCTTACAGAATAAAACACATTATTTTGTGTATTTTAAAAGACGTTTAAACTTATGTATAGACATAATCAACAGATTGCACCATTTGTGGGTACTGGCTCGTTTTATTATTGGCTCAAATTGCATTTTCTTTTCATTTTCTCGTAAACGCACACACACACACACACACGCAGAACTCGGAGTTCCTGACGCTCACGTACGGCGCACTGGTTACACAGATGCTGCGCGACTTTGAGAACGTTGAGGATGTGAACAAGCAGCTGGAACGGATTGGCTACAATATGGGCATGCGCCTGATCGAGGACTTTCTGGCAAGGACATCGTCGCCGCGCTGCCTGGAGATGCGCGAAACAGCCGATCGCATACAGCAGGCATTTCGCATCTATTTAAACGTACAGCCCACCATTTCGAATTGGTCGCCGGCCTCCGATGAGTTCTCGCTGCTCTTCGACTCCAATCCGCTAACGGAATTCGTCGAGCTGCCACAGGATCTGACCAATCTACGCTACAGCGCCATACTCAGCGGCTGCATACGCGGCGCCCTCGAGATGGTCCAGCTGGAGGTGCAGTGCTGGTTTGTTCAGGTACATATATACACATATATATATAAATATATAATATAAATAATATTTAAATGTCTAGAATTCAGTGTCTGTCTATTTATGTGTACAGTGAAAGCTCCACTAAAGCGAACCAGCTTCCTTTTGCGAACATCTTCTCTTTAACTATCAAGCTGCTGCTTGGATTCCAATTAGAACATGGAGTAGAGCCTGCTTTAAAGCGAACAAAACGCCAATTAGAATGTCGCATACAAGAGCTGGCTTTAAAGCGTACCATATTTTCTTACTTAAATCTTACATTTCCTTTAACTTTCAAGCTTCTAGTTGGAATCCAATCAGCTTTAAATGTTAAATGTTCTTTGGCTATCAAGCTTTTGGCTGGAATCCAATTAGATTTCTACATACTAAGCTAGCTTTAAAGCGAACTATTTCTTTCCACTTGAATCTTATTTGAATTTTACCTAAATAAATTCAAAAACTTTTCCCTTTCACTTAAAACTAAAATCTTTGCTCAAAAAAAAAGCTCAAATAATTCAAAAAACTTTGCAAATTTCTTAAACGAAATGGAAAATTTTGCAAACATTCATTTACTTTTATTTAGCTTCAACAAACATAAGAAATTATGTTTAAATCTGAATGAATGCAGGCTTTGTTTTTTCTTTGTTGTTGTTGTTGTTTGTCATTTGGTGTCCGCTCAAGAGAGTTTTCACTGTACGTATGTGTGGATGTGTGTGTGCGTGTGTGTGGAATACTTTTTGGTTGTTGTTCCTTCAAGCCGTTTATTTTGTTTTGCAGGATCAACTGAAGGGCGACAATGTGACGGAGCTGCGTGTTAAACTCGTGCGACGTCTAGAGGAAGCCATACCAGCTGGCGAGGATTAGAGATTAGAGAGAGACAAACATACACATATATATATATAGAGAGAGAGAAAGTGACACAGAGAGAGGGAGCAGGTGGGAGACAAACGCTTGGGGCGCTTCTCATTTAGGATTTATTAACATTTTCTATACCAAGCTGCATTCCGAAGCGAAGGCGCGCGCGTCTGCACAACACGAAAACAACAACAACAATAACGGCAAATTAATAATTATTAAAAAGAAAGAAAAATAAATAAAAAGTAAACCATTTTAGTTATGATTTTTATTCGACTTTATACAGTTGTTATAAAATATATATAGTGTATACATAAAGTAGTCGTATATAAAGCAATTCATGTTGAATTCAAGGCCTTTTGGTTAAGTGTTTGCTGCTCTACCCTTGCAGTGTGCATAAGTACTATGTGACGAGTGTTGTGTAACGCTCCAAAGGCGACAAAATCATAGGGTATGTATGCATATATGTGCCTGATCAGATAGAATATAGCTCGGAATCGGATATAGCTGCCAAATGTCAAATTAGGCAAAAGTTTTGTTCATAATCAAAAAGTTCTTTTGTGTTTTAAGAACTTTATTTAAATTGAGCACTTATAAATTGTCTTAAACTTTTAATAGTTTGACAAAAAAACGGATTAAAGTTTGACCAAAAATAGTTTTATGCTTTACGAACTGTTCTACTTTCAAAGAAAGCTAAGAATTTGCTATCAAGCCTAACTGCAAGAGCATTTCAACTTCGGCGTGCCGAAGGTAACTTTGATTTAATTTTGTTTTGTTTAAGCAATTGTAACATTTTATACAGGTGTTAAAAGTTTGGTGCCTGCAGTATTACTTATAAGATCTTAAGCGTTAGAGTTAAAGCGGCAATAATTGTATTTGAATTAAGTTTGATTGTTTTAGTGTAGGCGGCTTTTGTTTAAGTTTCGAAGCGCGGCCAGCCGACGTTGGGTTTTGCATTTGTTTTTATTTAACAACTAACAACAACAATAACAATATAATTGTAATTTTCTTCTTTTTTTTACGTGGAATACTTTCTCATAGGCACAATACAATACTTGGTTATACGTTTAAAGCTTTGGTTTGTCAATTTAGCTATTTTCCAGCTAAAATTGGCCAACAGTTTAAATTTTAAGCTGACCGCCATTTTTTGGCAAGTGCACTAACGACCCTGCTTTCAGCTACTTCGGGCTTTTTACAACATTGGAGTTTTCATTTTAAGCTGATCGCCATTTTTTGGCAAGTGCACTAACAGCCCTGCTTTCGGCTATTTTCAACATTGGATGCAGCTACATTTTTTTCATTTTTTTTAGTGACACTTGGCAACACTGCTCGGGGTACACTTTGGGCTTTGTTGTTGTTGTAAAAATTATTGTTGTTGCTGGCGGCGGCCTTATTTAATTCTGCTGCGGGCAAAGCATTAGGTTGAGGTTCCGGCGCGTCAGAACTTTGCGCAGGGCTTGCAGCGTTTTCATGCAGATGACGACACAACAGCCATTGGCCACGCCCTCAGCGGGACTCTTGCATGTGCAGGAGCTGCTCTTCAGAGCGGCGCTGCCGCTGATCACTGCAGGCGGCGGCTGCGCCTTAACCGAACAGCAGCTGGCGCTGGCCGCAGGCGGCGTGCTGCAGCAGCCGCCGGCAGCCGGAGCTGCGGGCTTGTTGCTCGAGCAGCAGCCGCCGGCAGCTGCTGGAGGCACCGGCGGAGCAGGAGCAGGAGCACAACAGGCGCCTCCTGTTGCTACGCAACCACAGCCGCCGGCAGCTGCAGGCGCCGCTGGCTTGGCAGCAACGCCGCAGCCGCCGCTCATGGAGGCCAGATTCTGGAGCAGCAAAGCAACATCCTCGATGTTTTGATTCATTTCCGCTTCGCGTTTACTCACTTTTTTGCTGGCGGCGCTGCCGCATATGCGCTTGCCATGGGAGCTGGCTGCTGCTGTCGTCGTGGTCGTAATTGGCTTGGCCTTCGGCGTGGAGCTGGAGGAGGAGGCGCCGCCGCAATCGCCGCCATGACAGCTCTTGGTCTGATCACACTTGCAGTTGGTGCAATTGCAGATGCCCGCATCTGCTGTGATCTGCTTGAGCGTTGGCTTATTGTCCCGTATGTCCAGCTCGACAAGGCCGGAGGCATCGTTGGGCACCTGCGAGGCCTGATGCAGCGTCGCCTGGAGCAGGGCGCTGTTGTTGTCAATGGTCATGAGTATATCGTTGAGCAGCGATTCGGTCTCCATGTCCTCGTCGTTGTCATAGCTATCATCTCTGAGCAGCTCCTCAATGTTCTGCGGATTCAGCTCGAGCGTGGGCAGCGCCGAGCTGGCCACATTTGTCGCCTCCACGTTTGTGCTGTTCAACATATCCACGTCCAGCGGCGCTGCTAGCTCCTCCATGTTGCCGCTGACGGCGCTGCCAAAGTTCGCCTTCAGATCCACAAAGCTGGGCATTTCGGTGGGCAGCGCCACGCAGGCATCGGTCAAAGGTGCGCTGGCCATGATGGGCTTGGAGACGAGCACGCCGGCATCGATCCAGGGACTGGGCAGCTCCTCCTCGGCGGCATAGGACAGCGGATATGCCTGCGATGTCTCCGGCAGCATAAACACATTCGACAGCTGTTGCAGGACAACGCCGCTGTCGTTGCTCGTGTTCTCCGAGCTCTGGCTGCCCGGATTGAGCAGCACCATGTCTGTCTCTTGTAGCTCCCCCTGCTGCTGCTCCCGCTGCTGCTGCTGCTGCTCGAGCAGTAATTTCTGTGCACGCTTCGACTTCTTCTTGATCTTGTTGAGATGCGTCTTCTTGTGCGACTTCAGGCTGTGCGAGGTGCTGAACGACTTCTGGCAGCTGTCCTCCTGGCAGGGATACGGCTTCTCGCCGGTGTGCGTGCGCCGATGCGTCTTCAAATGATGCGACGCCGTAAAGGCCTTGCCGCAATCGTCCTCCGGGCACTTGTACGGACGCTCCTGGGTATGGGTGCGCATATGCTTCTTCAGGTCGCTGAGCGTCGTGAAGCACTTCTGGCACATTTCGCAATTGAACGTCTCGCCATTGTGCAGACGCAGGTGGGCGTGCAATCTGATCAAGAGAACAATACAAACATTGATTAGCACCAATATCTATAATGTCTATATTTAGCGACTTGCCTGTATCGCGTGTTGAAGGCCTTATCACAGCCGGACACCTCGCACTCGTAGGGCTTTACCTTGGTGTGGACGCGCACATGGATTTTCAGGCTGTACGAGGTGAGAAATGCCTTGTTGCAGCCCTCCTCCGTACACTTGAAGCTGTAGTCACCTGGCCAATTAAAACAAACACACCGTTAATCAGACTAAATTACGTTTATTTCATTTAATAAGTATCTTCGCTTTTCAAGTTTGCCCGCCCAGTCAACGGCAACGGCGCACAAAGCAAGCGCACAGCGCTGCCAGTGTTGGCAAGCATAGTATCATAATATAAGAAGGTTGACAAATTTGTTGGTGTGACCATTTACCAAAACAAAAGTGTATAGGCCAGAGTAAAGGTAAGCTATATAAAAGAGTACTTGCAGTCGTATTTTTTGAGTAATAATATGATTAGTCTATTGCTGTAAAAGATTCTCCACTCTGCTTTTAGCAATGCTAACCCTGATTAGCCGTTATATTTTGGTTTCGGAATGACATGACGTCACGCGTTTTCATTGCGTGCATACACGCCTGTCTCTGTGCACTATCAGTGTTGCCTAACGGTGCAGCAGCGAACAACTGTTTGCGTTCGCCCGTCGAAGCGCACGCACGCATGCAACTTGTTTTTTAAAACGCTTTTTAAAATTATATATAAACAATGTCGGACATTGAGGAGAAATTGATTAAAAGTGTGAAGCAACAGGCGTGCTTGTATAATAAATCAAATGCTGGTTTTCGTAATCGCCAAAAAAGAGACAGAGCATGGGCACAAGTCTCAATGGAATGTGGACTGCCAGGCAAGTACACACACACACACACATGCATGCATTTTTACATGTGTGTGTACGTGAGCCCGGCAAATAAATTGCAAGCATTTTATTTTGTTTACAGTTAAACAAAGCCAATGTCGCTGGAAAACACTGCGCGATCGTTTCGTGCGCGAATGCCATAAATGCAGCGATTCACAAATGGATTCCAGCCACTGGCGATACTTCAAGCAGCTCCACTTCCTGCTGGAGCACATCAAACCACGCGGCTGCGGGTAAGATTTGCTGCAAGGAGCTTATATCTGCACCTTTTACATATATTCTGTATGATTGCAGTAGCCTGGATGACCAACAACTAGACTTTGAAGTCGATCTATCACTTGACAATGGCGAAACAAATCGCAGCTACTCCAGCGATCCGCACTGCAAGAGCGAGGCCAACGGGGAAGATCCGCTGAGCGAGGCATCGTCCAGCACAAGGGAACACCTGCCGCCGCCGCCTCTGGGTCTGGAGCAGGCACAAGAGGAGTTTCTCAGAGTAATGGGACTGCTGGAGAAGGTCTTGGCGCAGAAGCTGCCGTCGGATGTGCCTGCAGCGGATCCCTTCTACAAATACCTCGAGAGTATTCTGAGTCGCGTGGAGGCAAACGAACGCGCGGACATCCAATTGGAAATACTCAACTATGCCAATCAGTTGGTGAAGAATGCAAAAACACAAAGTGCCAGTTAATACAGAGAGAGAGAGAGTTATAGGATAAGCTGAAGGGGACCGGCAGATACCCTGTACGCACACTAGCTTAAGGATAAATCGAATTAGTATCAACTGGAGATGGACAGCGATTTGTATCGATAACAAGATCCCATGGAACTATCGATAATTAGCAGCGAATCTGATTACATATTCGTATTACATTTCGAATGTAACGTCTGCAGTTCGTATCAACTCCGAGAGATACCTTAATTCTTATCGATATTTGTATCGATATCATGAACCCATGGAAGCTATCGATAATAGGCAGCGAATCTGTTCACATTCATTTCGAATTCGATACATATATTTAGATTAGTTTTCTAATAGTTTATATACATAACTAGCACAAGAATTGCTGTCGATAAGGTAACGAAACTCACCTGTGTGTGTTTTTAAATGCGTACGCAGATTCCCGATGGTGCTGTAGCTGCGATAACAGTTCTCGTAGTTGCATTTGTAACGGCTCAGAGCTTCGTCCGAGCTCTGCGCGTCGGGATCAAAGAATAGACAATAAATATTAGTTAAATGAGCCAATTGGGTTCGTTCGAATTGAGTAAGAACTATGTACAAAGTCGTCTTTATGTCGTTAGGTATTATGTTTAATGTACTTCGTAAGTCGGATAATAAATATTAGCATAACAAATAAGTGCATGCAGTGTGTGTGCGTGTGAGTGTGTGCGTGTGAGTGTGTGTGTGTGAGAGGAATTTGTAGTTGGATGAGTTTTTAATGGTGTTTCGAGGTGTCGAAGGGTTCGGCTAAAACTACGCACCAAGTTGATTGTTTGTGAATGCGAAAGAAATTGTGGTTAACATAACTGTGAATTAGACGCCTAGCGGTTGATTGGTTGGGCGGGGCATTGGGTGCGCCCGCCCCCGGCCCCGCCCCGCTGTCTATAGCTCTAGGATTAACGAGGCGTTTGTTTTTTTCTTATTTTTGCTACAAGCGGCGTTACAAAAACGTTAAAATTAGTTAAAACACAAAAAATTTGCGACTGTTTGTGTAATATATATTTTTAAGTTATATTTTTGGCGTGGACGTGGCTTTGCTTGGAAATGGGGGCTGAGTACCTCGTACGCCATCGCCATCAGCTGATCCTCGTCGGGGTCCTTGTGCAGTGCGCCCGGATGGATGCAGTGTACCAAGTCATCCTCCTCATCTGGCTCGGTTCGATCTTCGATAAAGCTGCAAGATCGTTCGTTCAGTTATATCTCTCTCTCTCTCACTCTCTTTCAGCTTCGTTCAATTTGTGTCAGTGGGCCGTTATAACGATGTATTTACATATATATCTATACTCAAAACAATAACTGTACACATACATACATACATACATACATACAGTAGTCTATCGCATATAAGAACTAGCAGAAAATCAAACTTTTTGCATTGAGGCTCTGATTGAATATTTAATTTGTCAAATTTTAAGGTATTTAATTTTTTTAAATATATATATATATTTCACGCGCCTGATCTATTGAAAATATTGTAAGCAATACATATTTTCATATATAAAATGTGCGCTAGATTTGATCTTAATCCAATAATTGGGGCCAAAGTTGTTTATGCTTTGGTTTTTATTTACAGTAAATATATATATAAAACTATCAAAAATTAAAATCAAGAATAAAACTGGACTAAAACCAATCATGAACTCTCGACTGCAAACGCCGCGTTCTCATTTGCGAGCGATCACTGTACTTGCAAATTTGATATATGTATGTATGCTTACATGCATGTATTTGTATGTGTGTGTGTGTGTGTGTGCTAATTAGTGAGGTTAAGTCGCAGCCAACAGAAGAAAAAATCCATTAATTAACAGTTGACAAACAGCAAAGCAGAAACATCAGTCAAAACAAACAACAAAAACATAACAGAAACAAAACAAAAAAAAAAAGAACAACGGATTTGCTGAGCTGGAGACGCCTTAAGGCTTTTATAATAAGCTGATTAATTCATATTTAATATTGTCATGGTCAAACACGACGTCGCCGAAACTATAAAGGAAAATTTGAAAGAAAACACACAACACACACACACACGCACGCACACGGCGAAAACAACAACAAAAATATAGAATGAGGGGGCGTGAGCACGCCCAAGCGACAGGCAGAGGGAGGGAGGGCGCGCGCGACTGAGAGCAGCCCCTTGTTCCCCCCGCCCCGCCAGTCCCGTTTCAACTACTAACACACGCTGTCCCTGTCACGGACAGAACCGTTAGCCTACCTCGCCCCCGCCAAGCAGCCCTAATCTCAAGTATCGCGCGAGTGCTGAAAAACGAGAAATATGATTGAGGTGAACACTCATAGTGATAAAAATAGCGCAACGTAGACGTAGAGGGTCGGTCAGTGCGGACAGCACAAAAAGAAATTATATTCAAAAAATGATTATTATTGTACTAAAAATGAGAAGCAACTACAAAAATCAGCGGCTAACCACTTCATTAAAAATCATTTAAATTTTTGACTAATTGGGAGTGGTCAAATTGCATCTGCACCCAGTTGGGTTCGGTGAAATTAGGCAAATGAAATTCATTTAGACCACTCCAATCAGAAAACATGTACTTTAACGTTGAGCTGAAATCTAGTTGGAGTCAGTGATGCCGTTATAATTGTTAACTATACAATTCCAATTCCTTATGAAGTGTTATACAGAACGTAGCACATATCCAATTGGAGCGGCAAGTCCAGGTAATCCAGGAGTATGTCTAATTGGATATGTACGAAATACGTGTTAAAATAGCACCAAAGTACATTTAAATGGCAATTTCCCAAGCAAAATCAATAAAGTTCTGTCAAAGTTATGGAAAATTACAAAAAAACAACCTAAACATATGAACTCCAATCAGAAACAATGACTTAACTTCCAATGCGCGCTGATAAGAAAAGCAATTATTGTTGTGTGCGTAATTTACTCAAACTATAAAAAAACAAAACAAATTGAAAACTCGTTTGAAAAACATAAAATAAAGCAGAAATAGATATATTGTGTTATATCAAGTGTTTCACTTGATGGAATATTCTCGATTAGAATTTCACAATGGCCAGTCTAATTGGAAATCGTCTAATTTACAGCTAGTGTGAATGAATATGAGAAAAAAATCGCGTTGTTGTTGTTGTTGTTCTTACACATCAAGTATGTGTATATATGCATGTGTATACATAATTATATATGTCTATGTGTGTGTATTTTGTAGTGGGGGGAATATCTAAATGCGTTCATCGGCATAATTATTTTTAGACCAAACAAACAATTTGGATACAATCATCGGGCAGCAGAAGACGAACTGCAGCCGCAGCCGCAGCAACAGTAGAGCAACAAAAACCGTTATATTCCCAAGCATCGACTACATACACATATATGTATATATATATGTATGTATTGGTATGCAGCAGAGGTGGGTGAACACCGGCGAGCACAAATCAGGCAATTAGCAGACAACATGCTAGCATTTCGGACACTTAACGAACGTGCGTTGTAATAAGTGGACATTGGAATTGTTCAAAAAATTTGCAAAGAGGCCAAAGAAAAACTTGCTTTTTATGGCCGAATTTCGGGTCTAATTAGTTTTGGGTAGCCAAGACAAAAAAAAAAAAGAAAAAGGGAACGAAAATTAGACAAGGAGAGCAATAGCCAATGTATATGTATATGTGTATATGGCCGGGCACGTCACATTAGAGCAGACGATAGAAACATGCAGCAGAACATTTGTGTGGGCAGTGGAAAATTTAGTCATGGGCATTATTGCCATGGTCGGGGGTCAGCAACAGACAGAACAGACAGGGCCAAAGTGCAAACACCTGGCAACATTTAAATTAAACTAAAATGCACCAGAACTATCGATAAGCATTCTTAACGAAAGCACGTATCACAAGTAATGTCTACATTAACAGTAAAAGCTATAAGCAATAAACAAAGGTATCGATAAGCATTGACAACAATAGCAGTGTTGCGAAGCATGCAATGCGTGGGGGAGGGGGGCGGGGGCTGCCAGTGCTTACTACCTCGTCCCGAGAGTGAAATATGCAGTTGTAGTAGTAGCAGTAGGAGTTGGTGTAGAGTTGTTGTTGTCGCTGCCAGTTGTTGTTGTTGTTGGTGGTGGTAGTTCTTCGCTTGCCGGTATCATGCTGAAGGACACCACTGTAGGTGGCTGCACCTGAACGAGCTTTTGATTTTGAAACTGATATTCCAGAGTAAAGCAAATGTCATCCAGATTGTATGTGTCGACAGCTGCTGCATTTGTTGCTGTTGCTGCTGTTGTTGTTGTTGTGTGCTGTGATGAATTTATGGGCATGGCTATGGCTATGGGTGTGGGTGTGGGTGTGGGTGTGGGTGTGGCTGTGGATGATGCTGTGTCTGAGGTGGTATTGGTGTTGGTGCTGGTTAGCAACAGGGGTGCACTTGCGAGCGGTCTCAGTGTGAACAACGCCGCGTCGTCAGCTATGTCAACTATTTTGTCGTTGTCTGTATGCGTCGTCTGTGCCGGCACCTCCTGCAGCAACGTGTACGTTGTTGTTGTTGTTGTTGTTGCTGCCGCTAACTCATCAACGTCCGCCTCAAGTTCTAAACTTATGCCTAATGGTTGCAGCACCTGTTGCTCCCCAGCCGTGTGACTGTAAATGCTGCTGCTACTGCTGCTGCTGCTGCTGCGGCTGACGCTGGCGCTGCCGCTGCCAACGTCCGCATCCAGCTTGGGCGCCAGCAGCGATGCCAGCAGCGCTTTATCCTCAAAACCATCAAAGTCCAGCTGCAGCGTTGACGACGTGATGGGCGGCGAACCCGTTAGCGAAGTGCGCGTTGAGTTTGTATCATAATCCCTGCTGTCTGATAAGGAATTTCCATGATTGGACGACTTCCAGCTGTGCTCGAAGTACTGTTGTTGTTGTTGTTGTGGCTCGTCGTTGCTTGCATCCATTTTGTACTTATTCTAGTATATCACATACACACACACACTCACGCACACTTCTCACTGATAGACATGTATTTTACGCATGCAGTTTTATATTATTTTTTACTTATATCACTGCGCAATGCCGATACATATATACATATGTATTACAAAAGAAATTAGAAGATTTATAAAGAGCAACACAGCGGCGATCCGAACAAAATAATCACGTCCACGCAGCGCAACAACAAAGATAAGACTAGCGATGGTAGTGGGAGTGTAAAACTTAAATCGATATATCGATGATGTCACTAGTGATGATTGCTTTTCAACAGAAAGATCTCATTAGTCTTTTACGGGCATTCCCTTAAATCATTTTAAATGATCATTTTGCATCCGATTGGAGAAGAGGCCTTAATATTGTAAGCTGTTGCTGTAAGAGTTTGTTAAGTGAGCATAAAAAAGAAACAATTGAAGGAAATTATAAATGTCTATGCTTATTTTCTTAGGTAAAATATAATATTCATTGGTAATATGATAATATTAAGGGAACTGGTAAGACAAATTCAATTAGGAGTGTGGAGTGGTAGACATCAGTACAACACAACCAGAATACTAATGAATATTGTAAAGCATGTATATTAAATTAAGAATCATGGAGTATACGGCGAGCTCAAGTCAAATGTTCGCGCCTTAAGTGTGCGTTAAAAGTATCGATATCGATACCACATTTAGTTCGGTCACACTGCGCGCAGAGGCAAAGGCAGTACATATACAAAATTCATTGATTTTGTCAACGTAAAACATACAGCGCATAGCTGCACAGGCAGAGCATATAAAGTGAAGATAGTTAACTAAATTAGGAACGCAGCTGGAATCAGGCACAAAATGCAAGACTGGCAAGCCAAAAACAGAGAACTGTGAAGACACACGCCAAGCAGAAACCAGCTAGAGTTTCGCTGTGCTGCTGAACAAAAAATTCCCAATAAGAAAGAAGTGCAAGAAAAAGAGCATACGGTGTAAAAGGAAAAAGCAAGCAATAAAAAGCAAAAAAAACGAAACGAAAAATTTCAACAATATAAAAGCAAATCAAAACATGACAATCGTTGTACTAGATTAATTATTGTGGCAATTGTGGCGCACCAGCGGCCGGCCGTAAAATGCCAAGGAACACTTGCAGGCCAAGTGAATGTGTAGCTAACGGTAATGGCAACAACAACAACAACAACAACAACAGCAGCGACAAGGCTAACGGTAACCATGATGACAGCGGCGCAGCAGCGGCGGGCAGCAGCAGCAGCGCCGGCAGCGGCTGCATCGTCAAGCAGGAGCTGGATGCGGCGCCGCCCGTTTGCCACAGAAAATCGGAGCGTCGAAAAATCGCACGCGACATTTTTCTGGTCTTCGAGGAGCAGCCGGCGCGACGTCGTCGCGGACGTGGCGGAGCGCGGGGCACGCGGGCCAAGCAGAAATTTGGCCACCTAAAAGTGGCCAATACGCCGCGCATCAACAAGAATCTGTTGCGTGACATCAAAACGGAACCAAAGTGCAGCGCGGCAGCAGCTAAGCCAACAGAGCAGGAGTTGGAGCCAGAGCTGGAGCCGGAGCTGGAGCCGGAGCCGGAGCTGGAGCTGCAGCCAGAGACGGTGGCGCTGCCGGAGCCGTTGCCGGAGAGGCCCAAGGCCAAGCTGGCCGCCGTGAAACTTGAAACCAAAACAGCATCAAATGCAACCGGAGCAACTGCAGCAGAAACTGCGCCCGCGACGCAGCAGCAGCTGCCGGCAGCAACAGCAGCTCCAACACCCGCCACGCCCAGCGTAAATCCCATCTTCCTGTGGGTCAAGCAGGACGATACGCGCATTGTGGAGGTGCGCTGCGAGGATTACGATAAGCGTAATCGTATACGCCTGACGAAGACAACAAATGGCTGGCGTTCCATGCCGCGCACCGATGCCTCGTCCAGTCGCATTGTCAAGTTCTTCCACAGCACGGCGGCGGCGCCCTTGCTAAAGGTCAAGCGCGAGCAGCTGCAACAACAGCAATCCATGGAGCAGGAACAACAGCAGGACGAGGACGACTCCGCGGAGCAGCAGCAGCAGCAGCAGGAGGAGTGGACTGTTGTGGAGCAGGAGCAGCAGCAGCAGCGGGAAGAGGAGGAGCAGGAGGCGCAGGCTAACAATCTGGCGGCTGTCATTGAGCATGTTGTTGTTGTGCCTGCCCAGCAGCCGGACCAGGAGCAGCAGCAGCACCCGGCCACGCCCACGCCCTCAGCGGATGCCTGCTTTGATGCGCTGCTCGACAGCGAGACGAATGCCTCAACCCGGGCCACCAAGACTAGCACCAGCAATGCCAATACGCCCACATATCAGAGCTCCCGCTCACGTTCCCGCTCCCGTTCACGTTCCCGCACGGCCACGCCCACGGCTGCGCCACTGGAGCTGCAGCTGTGCCCCAAGACGGGCCTGTTTCTGCCCAAAGGAACAGCTGCAGCCGCCGCTGCCGTCGCTTCGGCTGCACCTCAAGAGCAGGAGCTGGAGCTGGAGCTGGAGCCGGAGCCGGCCAAGCCGCTGGCGGCGCACAGCAGCAGCAGCAGCGTGGATCAGGCAAATCTCGAGGCGAACAGCAAGCACTTGAAGGATCTGCTCGACGATGCCGACGATCTGTTGCAGAACTGCAGCAGCGATAATGGGAGCAGCGGCGCCGAGCTCCTGGATTCGCTGGTGCAGCGCAGCTGCGAGGACAACCTGATGCAGGAGACCAGGCAACAGCAGCCCGAGCTGCAGCTGGCCGGCAAGGAGCTGCCCGGCATTTTGGCCATGGACAGCAGCGATGCGGGGCCCAAGTGTCTGTCCTTCAATGAAGCCGGCGAGATCGAGGGACTCAACGGCGAGCTCTTCCTGGGCATCGATAGCTTCGACAAGCAGCCCGAAGCGGTAACGGAAACGGAGGCGGAAGCGGACGCCGTGGCAACTGTGCAGCCGGAGCTGGTCGCCGTGCCGGATGAGTCGCCCAAGGATTTGAGCTACAAGAAGCGTGAGGAGGTGTGCCCGCCGTCGGAGTCGCGCAGCCAGTGCGCGGTCACCTCCAGTTCGGACATCCTGAAATCCAAGTCGCCGGAACCGGAACTGCTGCAGCTGCCGGCGACCAGCATACCCGCCGAGGTGGAGACCACCTCGGAGACGATCAAGCATCTGATACTCGAACAGTTTCTCAAATTGAACGGGAACACGCAGCACCAGCAGCAGCAGCAGGCGGAGCCCATGGATCTGGGCAAGGCGACGGGTCGCGCCGGCGACAAGCTGCACACGGTCGTCATCGATGACGAGGAGGAGGAGGAGACGGAGGCGACGGCGGCGACGGGAGCGACGGCAACGGAACCGATGGAGCCATTGAAAAAACGCCCGAAACCCATCAAATTGGACAAGGATCCGGATGCACTGACCCAGCTAAAGATGCTGATCAGCAATCCGCAGTGGAAGGTGCCCGATCCCATACTCGTGCCAAAGGATCGCCTCGGCGCAGTGCTGGCATCGCCGGCACGCGAAATCCCGCTGCTGTTGACGACACGGCCGGAGCTGCGTCTGCCGGAGGCCTTTGCCTATCCGGAGATTATACAGAATCCCAATATATTGGTCGTCACCATGGAGCAGCTGGAGGCTATACTCAAGAACAACTCGGATCACTCCAAGCCAGGCCTCTGTCAGCCCGTGCATGCCTCCGCCGCCGCCGCTGCCGTCGCCTCCGCCTCGCCCTGCCCCCTGCCTCCGCTGCAGCCGAGCAGCAAGGCAGCCGTCAGTCCTAGTCCCAGCCTAATGAAGCATCCGCCAACTGCAGCCAAGGCAACGCCCCCGCTGCCGCCGTTGCCATTGCCACAGCTGCCCATTAAGACGAGCCCGGCCACGCCCAGTTTGGCCGCTGCAGTGCCTCAATCCTCGCCAGCAGCCGACTCGAGCATGTCGCAGGAGCTGAATGCGACCACGCTGGCGCTGCTGCAGCAAATGCTCTGGCTGCCCTACTTTGGCCAGCTCTCGCAGGAGTTCTTCAAGACTTTGAAGGATCCCCTCGGACTGCAGCGCAAGTTCATGAGCAACCTGCTCCCGCTGTACAACAGCCAGTTGGGGCTGCAGCATCTGGACGAGCTGTACAAGCACTGCCTCAAGCAGAAGCCCGCCAGCGAGGAGCAGGCGGCGACGCCCGCGGCGACGCCCGCGTCGACAGCCAAGCAGCCGGCGGCGGCGGCGGCGGCGGCGGCGACAGCTTTTAATGGCTTCCCCAATCCCATGGAGCTGGCCTTTATGCAGAAGCTGCTCCAGCAACAGCAGCAGCAGCAGCATTTGCCCAAGGCCTCCCCGCAGCAACATCTGCATCTGGAGCACAAGCGCGCCAGACGCGATACGGATGCCACGCCCCTGCACATACCCGACTTCAACAAGCAGCTGCCCAAGGCGACACCTCCGCCCGCTGCAGCTCCAGTTGCTCCGCCCAAAGCAGCTCCAGCTCCAGCTCCAGCTGTTGCACCGCAGGAGCACAAGCCGCGCCTTACATGCAAATCGCTGTCGAATCTGCTGGAACCCGAAAGCAATATGGTGCCGCTGCTGCAAGTGCCCTACGATGCAGTGCGTCGCAACTCCCTCTACAAGCAGCAGGCGGCGCAGCAGCAGGAGCAGCTGGCCAAGGAGACGAACAATGGACGCACGCTGCGCAGCAGCAAGGCCTGCATCAACTACCAGCCCGTGGAGCAGGCCAAGCAAGCCAGTCAGAGCCAACAGCAGCAACAGTTGCAGTTGCAGCAACAGCAACAGTTGCAGCTGCAGCAGCAACAGCAACAGCTGCAGCGGAAGCGTGGCAACATGTTGGCGCACGAGGTGCAGCAGCAGCAGCATTTGGCGGAGGCAGCGGCCGCCGCAGCCGCTGGCCTGGACGCCAACTCGGCGCTGTGGCATCCGCTCTTCGGCAGGTCAGTCAAACAGTTCACAAGCCTGTGCTTTAATTTAAATCCCTGCCTCTTTCGACAGCAATCCCAAGCAGGGCTATAATAGCCCTTGGCAATGGACGACGGTGACGGCCACCGGCGAATGACAGTCAAGCCGGGCTCACAAGGAGCCAGCGCCAACGGCAGCCAACAGCTACGAGGAGCAACCACAGCTCGACTACAACAGCAGCAACGGTTGCAGCTACCATGCAGCAGCAGCAACAGTTGCCAAGCAGCAGCCCACAGCAGCAGCAGCGGCTGCCGTCAGCAACAATCAAAATAATCACAGCAATAAATTTTGTTATCCGGAGAACATGTTCCAAAACAATCAGCTGCTCAACTCAGGTTACGTGGCAGAGCAGGGCTACTGGCAGCAGCACCAGCAGCACCAACAGCAACACAAGCAACAGCAGCAGCAGCAACAACAACAACAGCAACATTGGAGCAGCAGCAGCAACAACAGCGGCAACAGCAGCGGCAACTATGCGAATAACTATGCCGCTGCGGCAGCTGCCTCAATGTACATGCAACACTTTAATCCCTACATGCAGCAGAAGGCGGCGCTGCTCGCCGAAAAGGCCGCGGCGCAGGCAGCAGCATCCGCGCCGCACGGCAGCAACAGCAGCGGTAGCGGGAGCGGGAGCAGCAGCAATAAGCACGGACGCTACGCGGGCGACTACGGTTGAGGTGTACGGGAGCACACCTTAAGAGGGGCAGCTGGAGCGGAGCGAGGCGCGTTCATTTAACCAAATCGCATATTAACATAGATCATATATAGGAATAATAACTACGTGCATAATAAACTATACACGGCGCAATGGAGGCCGGCAACGACGTATAGGCCATTTTAACGCAAGGAATTGCCAGGGAAATACGTTTCCTTTAATTAATTAAATAAATTAATATACAACAAACAAATTAATGAACAATTAACAACTGCAACAACAAGGTAAACGGCGAGCAACAATAATTATAAACAAAAACAAAAACAACACACACAATTAGTAAAAATTTGTTATTGGTAGTTTGTTAAAAAAAAAAAAAGTAAATTAAAAAAAAAAAACAAAAAGAAAAACAAAATATGTAGATGAGGCAAATGGAAGCAACAACAAAAAGAAAACCTAATTATTGTATTATTGTTAACCCAAGCTGCGTTATATTATTATTATTATTATGATTATTATTATTATTATTAACTCGTGTGTGTGTGTATATAGCGTTTTTATCTAGATGTATTACACTTAGTAAAACCCCATAAGACCCGCCCCTCTCCATCTCCACAACCCTAATCCTCTGCCGAATCCTTCACAACGCAGCGCTAAAAAGGCAAAAACAATTTTTGTATTCATTCCGCATTCAGCAAAGCTACAAAAGGAAGGTTTCTTTTTTGTTTACCCCATATTATGATTATGATTATTATTAATATTATGCTTATTATTTATATGTGAAACGAATCCCTTAAAATATGTGCAATCTTACATAAATGTATTTATGTTTTAGCAACAAAACAAAACGAAACGAAACGAAACACAACACAAGAATCACAAAAACTTATAACGAGAAATGGCAAAGAAGAAAAACACATGAAAAATAAAGGAAAACCTTTTAGAGAATTTCGCTGATAAAGGCAACAGAATAGCAAAAAACAAAAAACAACATGATTAAGCTGACTTTTTTTTAAGGGTTTGGACTCTGCTCAAATTTTGGATAATTATTGATCTATTTATTTTTGAATTAATTGCCCGTTCTGCTGAAAATATTGCAAGCCGTAAATATTTTCATATAGAAATCACGGGCTATATTTTGATCGACTTAGATATATCCAATAGCTGGGCTATATCTGAGCCGCAAATTTCATCAAAAGTTGTTAATTTTGAAAGTATTTTTTAAGGAAATATTTCGAAGAAATCCATATTTCTAGCTTTCTATTTCAATTCGGAAACCGATTGAAAGAAACTTGGAATAAATTTGGTATTCTCTCTAGAATTTCTAGATTAAGATCTGGCATGGAAACAAATTTGTGGTTTCAATAAGTCGGGGTGATATCTATGGAATTTTCAGCTGACATTTACCCGACTTTAGTCTAGTTAATATAGAGAATCAAAAAAAAACTATTGAAAGAGACTGATGATAAAGTAAGTAGAATTTCTGGTATAATCAAAATTCATATACGGCAACGTAACAAAAAATTATCTCTTTTGCTCGGACAGATATCTATGGAATTTTATATGCTGCCGACAAATGCTCGACTCAATAGTAAAAAACTTTAGTTCTGATTAGCTGCAATTCGAGAAAATACAATTAAATAGTATAAAAGATCGATCGATAATCGATATCTCTATATAAAACATGAGTTTGATAAATGAATGCTTCAGATTTTGAGTAGGCATTTTTGTATAAATATATATGTATATATTTTAATTTCGCTGTATAGATAGATATATATATATATATATATATATATATATAAATGTTAATTATTATTTTGTATAAATACGCAACTCTTCGCTTACAAACAAGATTATTGATTAAGTTTATAGTTTAGTTCAAACCACATCTAATTAAAAAGAGTTTTGTTTTGTTTAGTTATCGTTTTCATTTAGTTTCATTTGTTTTTTTTTTTTAAAGCATTTGAAATGCGCGCGTGCGAATGTTGTTTCAGCTAAAAAATAGTGTGTGTACGTGTACGTGTGCTTGTTGTGCTCCCAGCCGTGATGCGCCCAGCCCCCCGGGGGAAGAAGTCATCGTCGTTGTTGTCCTATTCGATCTGGCGATGCGCCTCCTGCAGGCGGACGACAACGCCCTGATAGAACTTGATCTGTTCGGCAATGAAGGCCTTCAGTGTTTGCTTTAGATGCGTATCCCGTTCGCTCTTGAAATGGGTTAGCTCGGCCAGCACCGTATAGGAGACAACATCTGTGCGCCTGTTCACATCCTGCAGCTGGGCATTGCTCATCTTGCCCTCGGCGGTGGAACGCTCGCAGTCCTTGCGCTTCTGTATGGCGCCCTTGTGCGTCGAGAAGATGTCCGGAAAGCAGTTCAAGACGCCTCTGCAAGAGATTTTCGTAATTTAGTTGGATACAAGGATAATGAGATGCGGGCTATAGCTCACCTGTAGATGTGCAGCCGATCGGAGAGCGGTATCCAGTCGTGCTTGGACTGATCGCCAAACATTTGACCGATGCCAATGTAAATGCCACCAATGCGACCCACGCTCTCCGAGAGCGGCACGCCGTTGCGTGTGGGCGCGCGCCGTTCGTCGATGGACAGCGATTTGGCCAGATCGGAGAGGCCGTCGCCGATGCGCTGGAATTCCTTTTTGCTTTGGGTCAGCGAACGTTTGGCCATATCGTTGGAAATGTTATTCAGATTGCGTATGGCCATATCCATGCTGTGTATGAACTGTGTGCCCGTCTCCAGTTGTGCGTCCACCTTGGAGTGCAGCAGATTCTTGTCCGGCGGCGATATGGCCAGGCAATAGTTAACGCCCATATACGGATCCCGTTCGGCTTTCCGTTTGCCCGACTTCCAGATCTTTTCGTCCGTGCATGTCAGAAAATGATACCAGACCTCGCACTTCGATATGACCGGATGCCGGCAGACCCAGTCGACAAACTCCTGCAGCTGTACGCGTCGATGCTCCACAAATTGCTCCTCATACCGGCCAGAGATCTGCTTGTCCGGCAGCGGCGGCACCGGTATCAAACAGAACTTGTCCGCCAGCCTCTCGTGCAGCCAATCGAAGTGCTTGTAGCGACGCGACACCTGTGTGTATATTCCGTAATTGACATCGCCAGATTAGATAGAAATTCAATTTCGAAATGTGTGACACAGTCTCAAGAACTGAGTCATTCGCGAATGCAGCAATAAAACATTCGTCAGACAAAGTAATTATTGAATGGCAGTTGGTCAGCGGCGGCGCTTGCCCCCAATTGAACTTACAACTTCAACTGCAACTCTTCTCATTTCAGTAACACTGTGCAACAAAATATTGCACCCTTAGCAATCAAATTTTTTACAGTCTATTTATAACATATTTGGGGGCTTGTTACTAACTTTTATGTGGTTTTTATGACTGTTCGCAATTGGAAAATTGGGTTGAGCTGTCTGTATGTGCAAAAAGTTTAATGCTTAATCATGAAGTAGTCCATTTTAGTAGCTTTTATTTTACAGTATAGCTCATAGTTTCTTGTTTAGTTAAAATATCTCAATCGAAAATGAGACTTTTTTGCATGGAAACATGTGTACACGACCACAAAAACTCGACTATTGTTTGCTGATCAAGAATATATATATATATATAAATATATATACTTAAGTGTCGAAATGGACGACCTCAAATCGTTACAAATTTCGTGACAAAATATAAATATTAAATAAATATTATTATTATTTTAACCAAAGCGATACTCAAATTGGCAAAGTATAAACACAACAACTTGTTGCGCAGTGTTATCAGCAGGCTACATATACACATGTACATGCACATGTGCATTTACAGGGCCTGTGCAAGTGTGCGTGTGTGTGATTCGTTGATCGGGAGTAAATAGCTGTAAATAAGAGTGGCCATACTCACCGAGATATTATTAAAACTAGGCGTCAGCTGATAGGCAATAAATGTTTTCATGCCCTTAAATTTGGACTCCTTTTTGGGACTGGCCACAATGACGGAATAGGGTGAATGATTCTGCGTCCATTGGTATATGGAGTCCTCCAGTTGCGTGATATACGCCAGCTCGCATTCGGGTATCTTTTCCTTGTTGCTGGACAGGCCGAGTATATAGGAATCCGAGCTTTTGGCGAACATGCCCTTCTTTATGGTGGCCGCACTGGCACCAGCCGCTGTGGAGCTAAGTGATATGCCATCCTCGCTGGGCGCAACAGGTAGATGCCTGTTGTCGTAGTCGCTGGCGGAATGCGTGAGGCCGCCCGAGCGTGCCGCTGCTCCAGATTTGCCACCTGCTGGCGCTATCTCTGAATATGTCTCGTTGTCCTCGCTGTCCGTCCAAATGCTGTCGTTGTCGTCATCGGCCGTTTGGTCATACCTGGGCGCAGGTGGCATATCAAATGGATCGAGAGGCGGACCAGCAGCTGGGGTACTTGTCTCAGCACCGCTGGTGAATTGGCGCGCCTCCGCGGCGGACATCACCTCCACGTAAGCCGCTGGAAAGAGCCCAATTTGGCCTCGACTGTTTTTGCCCTCCCACCAACCTTCGCCCACATCGCTCCTTGTTACCGTTAGAATGTCGCCGGTGACGATCGATAGTTCTGATGAGCCTGGCTCACCAGAAAAATCGTACATAGCGCGTACGTAAGATGTCATTTTGGTTATTGCACGATATTAACGCGTTTTTTTTATCTAAATCCGCTCCCATAAAGCAATTGAAAAAGCCAGTGTCTGAGTCAGTGTGTGTGACTAGTGTGACCGTTGCGTGTTTTACACTGTATACGCAATCGCCTATCGATAGGCAACTATACACACACTTGTTATCGAGCTATCGTGCTATCGTTATGAGAGCAACCTTGAGCAGTGAGCACAAAAAAATCTGTCCGTGATTCGTTCGATTGGATTTTTATTAATCATTCGCTTATTGCGCGTTGCCGATTTTGTTGGTAAGTAAAGTGAACAGCTTAATTGCTTTTTAATAATATATGCAATAAAACTGCCAGCTATTTAACTATACATATGCAATTTGTTGTCATACATTTGGTTATGCTTGCTTATTGTGGTCTTCACCGACTTTTTTTGACAGCAGAATTGACTAACACGTCAAACGAAACCCTACTGTTCTCGAATAAATACGAAGAAGTAAACAAGATAAGCGGATCCCGTGCAATTTACCATTAAAAACGTAAAAATGCAGCTGCAGGCCAAATATTTGCTAATATGTCTGTTCGTCGGACTGTTTGCCTCGCACCGTTGTCAAGCGGTGGCGGGTGGCGGAGAAGAAGGTAAGAGTGCCACAACGAATTTTACTCAGCTATGAGCTTGTGTGCGTGCATGTCTGTGTGTGTGTCGGTGTGTCTGTTGGTGCCTGCATTGAACAACAAATTTATAAATGCATGTGTATATGTATGACTGTATTGGAATCTTAAATGCCACACTTGTCTGCATATATATGTGCATTTGTGTATCTGTGTGTGTGTGTGTGTGTGTGTGCGTGCATGTATTTAGGTGTGGAGCGTAATTGAAGAAGATTTCAACATAAAGAACTTTCTATTGAGCCAAGTTGAATTACTTTATAACTGTTTGCACGTGTGTGTGTGTCTGTGTGTGTGTGTGTGCATATATATTTTTTAGGAAATGGAGTCACGACTACGACTACTGAGGCAGCCACCACTGTAACCGTGCCACCGGCACCCGATGACAAGAATACAACAAGCACCGAGAAGCCGATAACAACAACAACAACCGTGCCGCCAACAACTGCTCCAAATACAACAACAACGGTATCACCAATAACAACAACCACGGAGGCAACAACAACTTCATCGACGCCAAAACCAACACCGTCGCCCATCACAACAACAACAACAACTCCAGCTCCAATCACAACGCCGTCACCAAATACAACCACAACCGTGGCGCCATCCACAAGCACAACTCCGCAGCCGTCCACAACGACCACGGCCAAGCCGACGCCGGTGCCTTGCGGACATTTCGATGGTTCGTCGTTTATAGGCGGCATTGTGCTCACCTTGGGTCTGCTGGCCATCGGACTGGTGGCCTACAAGTTCTACAAGGCACGCAATGAGCGCAATTACCACACTCTTTGAGCCGCCAATGCTTTTACGTCGGCCTTTAATGCAGCAGCCGGTGCAACAGCCGTGAACAATCCCGCCACGGATGCCGAACGTGTGCGCTTTGTTCAGCCATTAATTCCGTTGCGTTCGCCGCCAGCGCAACCGCCACCACCACCACCAGCAGCAGCATCAGCAGCACCAGCATCCTCCTCAACTGATCCTCAATATCAACAACAGCTATTGGCCGGCGAGACAACACAACATTCAGCTATACAAAATAATTCACCATCGGCCAGAGATCGGCTGCTGCACACGTAATTTAACACTCGGGGTACAATTGTAATACAAGAAACTATCCAAAGAGCCCCGCGATAAACGTAATCTTCAAATCTATGCCCCAGCTCCTCTCATTCAAGCACACTCGCACTCCATTGTGTCAGACAAAACATTCTTCCCTTATCAGCTATATATGCATATACTTCTATATATATATATAATATGTACATTTCGTATGGCTTTTATGAAAAACATGAATCACGATTTGTGCTGCAGTCTTTAATCAGCGAACTTTAAGCGGATGTTCGACGCCTTATTAAATCTGAATGCCCTTCAGCTTGAAACTTGGCGGAGGGAAAAGAAAATTATATGAAATCAATATGATATATAAATGTATATGTATTTATATTGGAAATAGTTTATGTACTACAATAACAGCAAATTATGTGAGACTGTCGAAGAAATGTCGCGCGATACGGAAGTGTTTTGTGGCGGAGCGCAACTAAAATCTAATCGGAAATATAGATTTTGATTGTATTTACAAACAGAAACTAACAATTTTATTAATAACTAAAACTCATTTAGGATAAACAAGAGCTAACAACATAAAGTCGTCAAATTTATTCCGCTTTCCAAACAAACAAACGAAAAAAAAACACATTTGCATTTTTGAATATATATGTATATATATATATATACTTATTTCAAGCTGATTAACTTTCTGATTACCACACATATATATCTATATATAAATGTCCGTGTCAAAGTTGTTGTCATTATTGCAAAAGCGCGAACAAAAAAAAAATCAATAGATGCACAGAAATTTCACAAACGAATGTGTTTGCCTTTGGGAGTCCTCCTTCTCAATCCCAGGCAGACGGATATCAGCAGCTCCATTGGAACCAAAAGATTAATTGAATACTGTGAGTTATATAATATATCTTATTATATATATATATGCGTATGTTGAATATTTTGTATTTGAAACATGAAACATGAACAACACATATGAATTATCTAGCCCACACTTATTGTTGGACCTAATGGAATCCCTCCCCTAATCCTCTGTGCACAAATTAATCTCATAATTACATCTACATATATATATATATATATAGGCTTAGTGAACAAAACTTATTGTATATCCAGTAAAACTCGAAACGGCTTATTAATGAAATACCTAAAGCTATGTATGTATTGTATATCGTGTACGATAATAAATATTTTAAAACTTTACTTACGCTCGTTATCGGTAAATGTGTGGCCCCTTTAGGCTATATATATTCTTGAACAGTGTCAACGGCCGAGCTGATCTGGCACCATGGCCAGGGTCGCGTTCTGTGTAAACAAGTTTCTCTGTTTGAAAGCTTCATTTAAAGTAGGAGAAATTTAGGTAAGACCAGGCCAGATCAGAGTACTATATAATAGAGCATAGTAATAATTGTTATTATATATATATATACTATATAGCTGTCATAGAAACACTCGGTCGATAAAGTAGTTCTTGTATAAAAACCTATTTTCAATTTATTTTTAAAAAAGAAACCAGGCACTTGGCATGAACCTTCCCTATAAGCAATATCTTATTAATATCGGACTACTCTAACATATAGCTCTATGGGATTAATGGGTCGACAAATGGGATCGACATATCCAAGTCTAAAGAACATCTTTCTACCTCATTTCCAAGCTATCCCATTAAACGCACACAACTCTTGCACATTGTCGTTCGTTAAAACATGTTTTATTTAACATTGTATCAGATCTTAAGCAAGCTTAGTTACATATTAGTTAAACGTTATACTAAATAGTTGTTAGGCCCACAATTAGCTACTCTGCTTTTGCGGCTCGCTTCGCTTTCTTGGGCTTGTCCAATTTGGGCCCTTGGCCGCCAGCTGCTTTGCGCTTCAGATCCTTCTTCGAGCGCTGCTTTTTCTGCTGCGTATTGAAGCGCAGGTTGAGCTTGGTGCCGCCAATGCTCAGATCCAGCTTGATGGCATTGCGTGCATCCATGGTCGTGGGCAGGGTGACGGTTGCCGCGCTGAAGTCACGGAATTTTCCCTTGCCCGGCTTGATTTGTATGTCAACGGCATTTTCGAAGAGCTTGCGCACCTGGGCTACGGAGCTGGACTTGGGCAGATTGGTGATCACCACGGATGATGTGAATGTTTCCTTGCGCTGCACCTGTTTGGTGGCCCGTTTCAGTAGGTTTTTCGTTTTCTTCTTCTCCAGGGATTGCTGCTTGCGCGCCACAAGCTCATTGACAAACTCTTCGGAATCGGTTTTGGGCAGCGACACAAATATGCCCTTAAAGGCGTCATCGCTTTCAATTGATTTTTTGATATCTTCCAGTGCTTGGTTGCGATCTTCTTTGGATTTGAACTCGACCAGGCAGAAGCGCGCGTGCTTTTGACGGGGCTTCGCTGCCTTCGAGATTAGCGAATGCAGAGATTTAACCTTTGTCTCGAATTCCTTATCATTTAGTGGTAGCTTCTGTGGAAAGCGTACATAGAGTCGCGTACCCTTTAGCTGTTCATATTTGTTGTGTATTTGTTCTTCAATTATTTCGGCTCTCGTTTTGGTTTTAGTCTTCGAATCGGAAGTTTCGTCTTCATCCGCTTCTGAATCATCTTCATCGGATTCTGTTGCGCTGCCCGCCAAATCCAATTCGCTTTCATTATCCGATTCTGCGGATTCGTCTGCAACACTTTCTTCATCGTCTGTTACAGTTTCTTCCGGCCTTTTAGTCATTTTCATAAAAAATTAATTTGTTTATATCGTTGCCGTCGCACGTGCTAGAACCAGAGTTGTTAACAGCCGTGTGTGGCATTAGCAACAGGGCTGCAGAATATATTGCACGAACCAGCTGTTGCGTAGCATATCGCAAATTTGCGATAACTCGCCTATCGATATATTCGATTAGTTGTGCAGGTGCATTTTTAGAGACAAGTCTTATCTGTCTATCTGTTATTTATTTTTTGGAGAAAAAAAAACATTAAACAAAATTTGTAATGGGTTTGCTGGATAATATAACGAGATGGTTCACATCTGAAACGTCGAGAAACAAAAATTCTGCCCTGGCGGCAGGATTACTGGTATGTGTCCAGGTAGAATGCTTGCCTTAATGCGCAATGCCTAATCGTTTGCTCCTGCTGCCAGTTCTTCACGGGGTGGTGGATATTAATCGATGCGATGGCCGGAGATTCCCACTATCAAATAACGACAGGACATGTATTTATTGGCATCTTTGGCACCATCAGCTTCTGCATGATAAACACGGTCAAAGGCGAACATGTAAGCTAAACACACATATATATAAATATATAATGTTTATAAGCACAAAGAAAATGAGTCATTTTTGTTGTTTTGCAGATATCTGATGATAACTCATCAGAGTCGGGCGCGAGGATTGCCAAAATATGGTTGCTCATTGGCTTTGTGATGGGATTCGCGTCAATTATTGCCGCCATTTGGGTAATGGTTGATGACTTTGTTAACAATGGTAACGAGAAGCTAAGCTCAAAAGTTTGCCAATTATTAATGAATGTTGTCCTTTGTTTTACAGAGAAAAAGGACACAAGCTTGGGCGTCGCGTTGCTGCTACAAAATGTCTTCATACTGTTTGGCAGCCTGGTGTATAAGTTTGGCCGCAACGAAGAGGATTGGAATGAGTGAAGCGTCAGGATTGGGACGTGCTGCTTTTAGAAAAAAAAACATAATATACACACACATAATTGTATTTCATGTAGACTACTCCAAGAATTGGAAGCTACGCGCTTCGTCATTGCAATATGCGTTTAGAAACAAACAAACAAACAAATAATCTCATATTAATATTAAACGACGAGTCACTCGCACACTTTCAAGTGTAGTTTATTGCAGGCACAGATCAGGACGCCAACGAGCAGCAGGCCCAATTGACTGGCAAGCCAAAGCCCTTCGCTGCGTTGAGTATATCTATAAGTATAATAAATTGTACAATTGACGGAACTTGGCTTAAGCTACTCGATAAAACTATAGAGCATACGCGTCAGCGGGACACTCGTTTTCGTTCTGGAGGCACCATTGCGGCTGCAGTGCCTCGGCCCCAATGCCATTCTCGACGAGACGTTCCCGATGCAACAGCAAGCGGGACTCGGCCTGCCGCCAGCCCTCGCTGGGATTCGACCACAAACGTTCAGCCAGAGCGCTGGCGCGTGGCCAGAAACGATTGTCCAATGTGTACTCATCGATTTGCTCCGACCAAATGGCAGCCTCGGCGCCAAGCACATGATGCGCATAATCGCCCGCTATTTTGGTCAGATTATTCTGATAGACCTTCTGCCAGCCAATGTAGGGGGAGCACCAGTTGTTGCCATCGGTCACCCAGCCGCCGCCGCCGCAGTCCAGATACAGCGCATCATAGTTGGAAACTATGATTCGATAGCCGCGCTTCAGTATCTTCTTGATCACCCTGTCAGTGCCCTTTGTCCAGATTTGTATAATATAGCGTAGAGGATTCAGGTAATCGTCAATGTAGGGCTCATTGGTGAGCGTGCTCGTCCAAAGTATGATCGGGGTGTGCGAGCCGTTGGCCACGCGATCCACACGACTTAGAGCTTCCGTCTGATAGTGGCCCCACAGGCGCATGAAATCCGCCTCAGCCAGTCCCCAGCCACGCTGCGTCATCCAATTGCGTATGGAGGCGCTGCTGTTCCAGCAAGCGACCGAGACCTCGTCGCCGCCCATATGGAAGACATCCGGATTGTGCAGCTTAAACATATCGCTGAATATATCCTCTAGCACATCGTACATCCCATCGACAGTGGGATCCAGCTGGCCGCACGGCGGCTCCACACAATACTTATTCCACGGCTGGGCATTGAAGCAGGCGGTCATATTCTTATGCTGCCAGCCCTCGCCCACATGCGCCGGACTGTCGAACTCGGGCATGACACGTATGCCGCGCACGCGTCCATATTCCACCTGAAAGCAGAGCACAATTAGTTAAGTCCATGAGCTTAACAGCGGCAGCTGGCGCACTCAACTATATCCGCCACATCGCTGTGCGTGTAGACCTTGCTGGGCGTATAGGCGCCCAGCTTGGCCAGCTCCGGCCGCTTGCTCACTTCGAGAGGAAAGCTATGCGAGTCCGTGATGTGCCAATGGAAGGTGTTCAGCTTGACCATGGCCATGCCATCTGCAAGGGAAGTCAGTTGAGATACGAGTTCGCCTTCAAACGGCTTCCCACCTACCCAATGTGCGCTTGATAGCCTTGACGGAGAAGTAGTTGCGCGACGTATCCAGCAGCAGGCCGCGCCATTTGTAGACGGGCGCATCGCTGATGGAGGCATTGGCCGCCACCTGGATCTCGCGGCGTATATCGTCGTAGACAATCAGCTGATTGAGCGTCTCCAGGCCGTGGCGTGCACCAAAGAAATTGGCAGCCGTAATATTGGCCGTGACCTGGCCCGCACTATTCGAGCCAATGTTCAGCTCGTAGCTCTCGTCCGTGTCCAGCTGGAGACGCGCGGGTACTCCGTTGTCGGCAGTGTTAAGAACAATGTTCAATTGATAGCCGCCCTCTTTGAGACTCTTGCGATTGGGTATCTTGGCCTCTAGCAAGTCCAACCAACGCTGCTCCGTTGCCTGCCAGAGTTTGTCCTTTTTGTCCACGCCAGCCAAATGGAATTGAATCGTTGCAACGTCCACCTGACGCGTTAGCGGCTCCAGCTGCACAGCACCCGTCGGCTTGGGCCAAAGTGTGCCAATGTTGCTGCCACAGAAGAGCCTGCAAACTGGCAGGCTAATTGCCCGAGCAAAGTTCTCCTCGCTCAGCTCGACCTTGCGGCACAGACCATTGCTGCACTCGTAACCGTATATCAAATCGCTAAAAATAAACCAGTTAACATATAATTAATACCACTAATTCATTTAAATATCATTATAGTTATAATTGCAGCGACTTACTCAGCGCCCCGAGCAGCGCCAGGTGCTGGCGTCCAGCCAAAGGCCAGCAGCAGGGCTATTGCCAGTGCTGCACAACGCATTTTTCTAAAACGGGCTGAAACTGCGAACGCGCAGCGAATTGACAAGTTGATTAAAACAAAAACAAAAAAAAAACAACAGCAAGAAAAGGAAAATAACTAAAACGGGTTTCTCCGTTGCCGTTTAAAATAAACTTTCTCCTGCTTTGCGTGCGCCGCAAGCAACCGTTGCAGTTGGTTCTTCGGCATCGACTGACTTAATTGTTTTGTTTCGCGGCCAATTTATCGGTTTGCCAGCACTTGAAATCGATTGCGATTGCTGTTGTTGCACCCCCCCCCCCCATCTCTCTCTCTCTCTCACTCTGTCTCTCTAACAAGCACATACACGAATGTACTGTTATGCGTTGTTATGTCGAGCGTAGATTACATACTTTTGCTTTTAGCAATCGTTCTTGTTCGACAAGTCGTATTTTTAAATGCAAAAACCACGGCCCGATAACATTTGGGCTGTAAATCTTAGCGAAAGTTCCATAAGGCTAATATAGTTTAGCAATTTAGCATTATCTTTTGATAAGACATAAGTATATTGAAGTACATATTAATTAATTAATTAGTTATATTATTTATAAAATTGTTTTTCCTGACTGAGAGTAGGTAAAAAAAATGTCACCTGCGTTCTGGCCAGGTCTTTTTTCAAGTGCATATATGCCTTTTCATACGTTATTTTTAAAGAGCCCCAATAATTAGGATTGCTTTTAATATTAAGTGTACGTTTTTAGCTATGTATTAACATTTATGCCTTATCTAAGAATATCATGAAAGTTGTCTATTATGTGGGATTCGCGCCCTTTTGCGTTAAGGTGTTGTCCTCGTAAGTTTCCAAAACATCTGCCAAATGCTCGTTGTCGCGGGGCTTCTTGAACTGTCGCTTTTTGTTGGCCGCCTTTTTGCGCTTTGGAACGGGCTTCTTGAGGCCATGATCTTGCATCGAGCGTATGCCTGGAATTATGGGTAAATACAATAAGTTAGGGTATAAGATCGGTTTGTATGATTCTTCTTTCACCTTGCTTTTCAAGGTATTCATCGATTTTGGCATCGTCCATTGCATCAACCGTAGCGGAACGCCAAAGCTTCTGAAATTCATCATCCACCTAAGTGAATATATAAAAGCGGATAAGACAATATAACATATGAAAGTAGGAAGCTTCGCGTTGCTCACAGAGAAGTTTGCGGTTCTATCGTTGTAAAACAATATCTTCTTCTTATCTATGGGACGTATGATAAACAGAATTTCGGCAGCGCGGTTTTTCAAGACCTTCTCACAGTGCGGCAACGATTCCTGCACATCCTCCAGCAATATGCCACCGAGTCCCTTTAAATCGTGCTGTTTCAGCAGTCGCATCAGGCTTTTGCCATCCTTTATCTTGTACACAGGCTTAAAGCTAAACTTTGTGCCGTCGGGCGTGACATCGATCTTGGGATTGTTATGGAGCGCTTCACCAGAGAGCCACTGCAACGAGGAGAAGCAGAGATTAGGGCCCTGCTAAGAGAAGGTTTTCGTCCATTACATTTTTCACAGATTGCCCAATATCCAACTGATTGGTCTCATCGAGGATCTCTTCAATGCTCAGGGGATGATCATCGCCATCCTGATGGCGGGTGCGCATAAACTTAACTATTTTGGCCAACACTCCAAAGCGATACTGAGAGCTGCCCGACATCGTTTTGTAACTGCAGGAAGGAGACATGATGTGTGGGAGTGCGACTTTCATGTGCAGCTAAATTGAACTTACGTGGATGCATCAAGCTTTGGGGCCGTTGGTGGTCGCATTTTCTTCTGGGAATCATCTCTGCTTGGCGGTGGAGGTGCCTTTTCTGTTCTGTTTTTCTTCTCCACGCTGCGAATACAAAATCCAATTTTAAGAACATTTCAACCGCGTGCTGGTCAGGACACTTACGTGGGCGTTGCCATGGCCCGTTTTTTGAACGCCTCGCGTTCGCGAAGTAGAGCGGGATCCATTTTTGTTTAGATTTTATAAAATCGAGCTTTGGAAGTAATAGTTTCTTAACACAATCTACAAAAATCCAAACAAAACGCTGCAACTGTCAGCGTCTCGATCGAACAGCTGTTGAGTGAGTTTTCAGGGCTACCCAATAGGATTTATCGGTTGGCTCCAATCGAGTAACCGCTCAATCGATACTTTCAAGTCGATAGAACGCTTAATCGTTATTTGCGCGCCTAACATCGATTTCAAAAAACTTATCGGTTTAGTCTAGCCTGGCAGCTGTCAAAGTAAAATAAAAACATCCATGTATATATTTATTTCATTTATTAATATCGCTTTAAGGGCTTTACATAGAGTTGCATTTTAATTTTATTAGGTCATAATTGATTGGATTTCTTTGCGAAAATCTACAATCCGTTAGTTTTGCATTTACTAATATATATATATATTCTTATCTTTGTCGGAATACGTTAGTAAATTGTACAAAGAGTTCGTTTATGTATATAGTTGCTTGGTTTTGAGTAACGGTAATTGCGATTAATACGATAGTCCCGTTAGTGGTTGGTTTTAACAATCATTGCAGTTTCGTTGGCTCCGTTTATGTCTGGTCTATTTATACATATACATATAAATATCTATATCATACGGGTACTCAGTACTACAGCGCACTTGAACAGGTCAATTGTACGGTTGGTTGGTTGGTTGGTTGGTATTTCTTGTTTTCCGTATTCCGTGTCTGTTTCGCTCTGTGTGGTTCTGGTTCTGGTACTGGTTGATTCCGTAGTGTTTTATGGGCGGTTCTTGCGTCAGTTGAACTGTTTATAATTGAACTGTTTTTTGTTGTTGTTTTTTTGTTTTATTTTTGTTTTCTTGTTATTTTGAAAGTAAACTACTCGTACATAATGTTCTCTGTTAAGTACAATGTTGTCAGTGGGTCTGTGGAAATAGAAAGATAAAAATTGTTTTGCTTATTATGTACGTGGTCGATGGCAGGATCGTCAAATCGCGCATTCATCGAGTGTTGAGTTTTAGTACAGAGATCGGTAATTGTAATTGTAATAGAACAGTCTGAACATATATATTGTGTGATTTGTTATACACGCAAACACTTTTCGATTTAACACTAACAACTAACAACTTACCTCAGACCAGGTGCATACTCCAACTATGGCTACATTAAGGCATATAGATACACAGAATCAATATTATATTGTTATACTTACACTCAATTTCGGCGCAGTCGCTTTCTGCCGCTGTCATCGCCATCTGAGCCGCTACGCTCCTCAGCTTCCATGACCTACACAACAAATTGCCAATTGTTTATAATTTTACATTTTATTTTGGATATTTTGTGTGCATACCTTGATTTTGGTTCCACAGATTTCTGCACCATTTAAAACACCAATTGCCTTTTGGGCACTCTCTCGCTCCGAGTACTTGACGTATCCACAGTTCTTGTTTGGTAGCAAATAGACATCAATTAGCCCCTTCCAGCAGGAGAATATGTTCTTCAGTATTGAGTGGGGCAGATTCTAAAATTGTATGCACAAAACAAATGAGCATCGGTCTGTAAATGGCATACGGATTTTTAGTAACCCACCGCTGAGAGCACAATGAAGAGACGCTGGGCAACCTGTGCATCCGGCGATGCCAAAGGCTGCGTTGGCGGCAGCGGCACATTGCAAATGGCATCCTTTTTGGTCCGCTCTGAAATGGTAGCAGGTTAAGACAGGCAACCAAGGACACCTAACAATCATTACTTACTGTCAATGAAAGATGTGTCCATGCGAGCTGAGCTCATGCCGTTAACCTTAACAATTATGCGCTCGCCCATGGGATATTCGAGGCCATGCAGCTTGTCTCTATAGAAATAGAGTACGCATATTAAAAAAAGGTAAATTGATGTTAATATAAAACGTGTATTACTTGGCATAAATTGCAGCTTCGGGATTATCGTATACAACAACTGCCTCATTTGTGCGCGGGCCATCTAAAATCAAGAGTTGTAAACCAGAGAATTTCTAGATCATAGTCGTCGCTTACGTTCTCGCATAATTTGACAATAGTCCAGTCCGGGTATTATGTCAAATAGACGCCACAGCTGATCCTGATTAACGCAATTGCTGACCGTCACTTCCAAGCATGTGGGCTGTGGCACAGGCACATTTTGCATGCGCAGAAATGCGGACATGTCGCTGTTGACTGATGCATTCCAATCGTTGTTGAAGCTGCCAGAACCACTTCCACCGCCGCCGCCGCCGCCACCATTATATGTGGAGCCGCTCCCGCCACGTCCCGAAGGGTATACGGGACTGTCATCGGCGAGGCGTCCATACTGATCCCGTTGTGTGCGTGTCGAGCCCTTGGGTTCGGCAAATACCGCCTTGTATTTGGCTGAACAGTTTTCAAATGCCACAGCGGCATAGTAGAACCTAAAAAAGCGGCATTATTACTGTTTTTAATTTATAGGAAATATATATATACGTAAATGTGTGGAACTCTAGTTAATTTAAAAACATAACGGAATAAGAGTGGGTGGCGTTTGTGACGCTCGTATTGTGTTCAGTGTTGCGAACTGTTGCTGAATCTTTAAAAAAAATGGCTGACGGGTCAAATTGTGAATAACCTGGGTTGTTAACACTTGTCATGGATATGCAAAAATAGAAGGTAACTCAGTTAAATGATTAAACTGTTTCTGTGCACATTTCCGGATTTGGCTGAATTCGCTAAATTGTGTCGTGCTCTTATTGTATAGTTCTCTATGAATAATGCAATACATACTTTGTAAAGCGAACGTAGCCGAAACCTTTGGGACTGCCATTGTTCTTCTCCCGGACAATGGTCACGTTCTCAACCTCACCCCATTGGGCAAATTCATCGCGTATATCATCCTCAGTGGCGGTCTTTGGAATCACAATAAATAAACGCACATATTTCTCCTGTTCATTTTCGGACTTGTTCGAACCCTGATTACGACTGCAAAATGTTGACAAAGAGAAATTGAAATTTTTTTTTGCTGACCTCAGCCAGAAATTATGCCAGGTCACTTACTTAGCGGCAACCAGCACCTTTAGGGTTCTGTCAGTTTTTCCAATCGTCTTTCCGTTCATCTGTTCCTGTGCCTTGGCGGCATCTGAGGTTTTTGAGAACTTTACGTAGGCAATGCCTTTATTTTCCTGTGTATGCTTATCCTTAACTACCCATATATCTTCAATTTCGCCGTAGGGTGCGAAAGCCTCGCGAAAATCTTCTTCGGTGTGTGCTTTGTTACATATTATGAACAGCCGCGACATGGGTGGGTCGTCGTCATTCGAATAATCTTGGCCACGTCCACCGCCACGGGATTGAGAGCGATAATCCGACATATTTCTTTTATAAATCAAATTAAATTTTCCTACACTTCTACTTTTTCGCGTTTTTGTTTTGCTGGCCAGACGCCGAATACAAAATGGCAGAATACTCAGAGAAGTATTTGTGTATACTACTGAATAAATAATCGAATCGGATATATCGATTTGCACCGGTGTTATTTTTTATTTTTTAGTTAGGAATTTCGTCGTTTCACAACACTGGTGTCTGGAAATGTTTTTGTCTAAAATTTTAGGTAGGCGAGCAGATGCTCTGTTGATCCTGGATTACCTGCTGCGCAGCCGTTACGTTTTGCACGAATTTGCCACTACCTGTGTAGAAATTCCACATAAAAGCAACCCACTGGTAACAATGCTGTTAGTCGCCATAAGACGCTCAAAATGAAATCAATGGAAAGAGCTGTCATGCGGATGCTGGCGATGCTGATATGCACCCAGCTTATACGTGGCGATATGGCTAAGATGTCGAAAAAGTCGCATGTGGAGGACTTTGAGGGCGTAACAGCGTTATTCGAGGCCCTAACATCGTCGCCAAACGACGGTTACACGTATGACTGGCGTGTGCACACCTTTTCAATAAGCAGCAACAACATTGACGAGGAGCATGTGATGCACAATTGTACGGTTTTGTATCTGGACCAGTGCACATCTTGGAATAAGTGCAGACAAACTTGCCAAAAGACAGGTGCAGCCAGCTACAGGTGGTTTCATGACGGATGCTGCGAATGTGTTGGTGGGCATTGTTTGGGCTACGGCATAAATGAGAGCCGTTGTAGCCACTGCCCCGAACCTGGATGTGATAGTGATGATTAAAAGCAGATTATACATACATATATTTGTATATATATATATATAGTTATTAGTATTAGAGTTAAGTTTATTGTTCTGTTAAACAAGCAAAATAAAGGGGTATGCTGCAGGGTTTCAATAAACAAAATTGTTTGTGTTTGACGACTCGATATATTCGCCTATCGATATATCGAGATATCGCACATCTCTATTTCATTTCAGCTCCACGTTGTTTGGGTCGGTGGACAATTTTAAACTGTGAGATACGCTAAAAACACAAATGGGTCGCAAATTCCAAAAGAAAAAGAAGGTTGAGCAGCTGGAAATTGTGCCGCTAGATGAGAATCCACCGCTACCCTCGCAAAGACCATCAGATGAGGTCGTTCCAAAGAAGGTAAGCACCTGTGATGGCAACACACAAAATGCAGCATTTTTCATCCACATTTTTTGTTATCTACACAGGAAAAATGGATAAATAAACAGCGAGTTTTGGTGTTTGCGGCACGTGGTATAAGCCATCGCGACAGACATCTCATGCGCGACATCAAAACTCTGATGCCGCATCATCGTCCCGAGTCGAAAATGGAGCGCTCCAAGACGTTGGCCGTGGTCAATGAGATGTGCGAAATGAAGCACTGCAACAAGGCCATGTTGTTTGAGGGCCGCCGCAAACGGGATTTGTACATGTGGTTGTCGAACACGGTCGGTGCCACCGGGCCGTCAGCCAAATTTCTCATCGAGAACATCCACACGATGGCGGAGTTGAAGCTAACCGGCAATTGCTTGCGCGGCTCACGACCGTTGCTCTCCTTTGATGCCAAATTCGATGAGCTACCCCACCTGAAACTGCTCAAGGAGCTTTTTGTGCAGACATTTGCAGTGCCCAACCATCATCCAAAAAGCCAGCCGTTCATTGATCATGTTTACACATTCACGTACCTGGATAATCGTATCTGGTTTAGGAATTTCCAAATTCTATCCGAAGACGGTGGCCTCTCGGAGGTGGGCCCACGTTATGTGATGAATCCAGTAAAGATTTTCGATGGCTCGTTTACGGGCAAAACCATTTGGGAGAATCCCGATTACGTGAGTCCCTCCAAACAGAGACAGATGCTCAAGAAGGCCGCCAAGGACAGATATGTGAATCGCGTCGAGCAAAAGGTGCAGCAGGAGGCAACACGCCCAGTCAAGGCCTACGAAGGTCTCGACAATGAGGAGCTGTTCGAAGACGAGGATCCACTAGAAACCGCCAGACTGCTGGCGCTCAAGGCTAAAAAGACGGCCGAGCAAAAGAAAACGCCCAAAGCGGCGCTCAACAAACGGATTAAGGACAAACAAATGCAGGTGGTGAAGCAGGTGATCGAGCAGCGCAAGGCACGGGTAAAACGTGTGAAAAAAGTTTAAAATGTTTTATTTCGCGTTACATTTACGAATAAATACAAATACATAAATACATATAAAAATGAATACATATAATAAATACGTTTACAATTGTGCGTTTGCTCCAGATACGTTTTGTCCTGAAAATATCCAACTTCAGCACTGGACATCTCTATGTTATCCAATATATATATATAAGTTACTATTTTATGTGTTTTTCACTACGTTTTGTACGTTGAGTTACATATTTTGTTCACTCGGAGGGCACGCGGGCAGAGTCCAACACCTGACATATTGGATCGTTATGTGTTTCTTAGTTTTCATGGGAGCACGGATTAGATATACATATATATTTGTAGAAGAGTAAGCGTCTTTTTTAGCTGGAATATTACTCCGCCATTGGGGAGACTTCGGCATCGGTTGGCGGCAAGCGCGTAATGCTGAACGGCTGCTTATTGATGGGCATCATCTCAACCACCTGTATGGGCGGTTCCTCGCCGGGCTGCAGGGGCTCCTCGCCGACCAGTTTGGCCAAATTACTCTGAGCCCAGCGGCCGGCGCGACCATTAATGGTCTTGTCTTCGCAGACGCACAGGAACAGCGTATCGACCACCATCTAAAAGCAATCAGGGAGTTAATTAGCATTTCGTAAATTAAACAAAGAAATTACAGACGACAAACCTCGAAGAGTGAGAGCACAATGTGAGCTATGAAGAAAGCGAAGATAATAATCAAGATGACGGGCGCCATATAGAAGTTCAGGCCAGGTCTGTCCTTCAGCATAAAGATGCCCAGCAGACCCGAGAGCGCGGCAACCACAACTTTGCCCAGGAACAGAATAAAGTCGCCGATACTGTTAATTGTTGCCACTTGCAGCACGTTGGTGGCCATCGCATTCCAGGCCTGACAGATGAGAGAATGTATAATTAAATACAATTGATTATTGGATTATTAAAGCTAGCACATACAATGCCAGCAGCTGGACAGAAGTTGATGGACTCAATGGCCACCACGGTGTAGGCATTGTGATTAAGGAAGCGTATAAACTTCTCGAGCAGCCAAAAGCCGCAGATGCAGCACTTCAAGCAGCAGGCGGCGCACTCAGAGCCCTTGTCCTCGCCCTTCTTCAGCCTGTCGAGAAGATTCAAATTTACGAAAAGTACAGGACGAATGGCAAACAGTACAATACTCACTTGGCATACAGATAGGTCAGGATCAGACGCGGTATTTTGAATATTGTTATAACAAAGGAGCCCTTAGCCACAGTGCCCAGGTGATATTTGATCAGTTTGCCAATTGCATAAAGAGTTGGCGTCGTTGTCGGCTTGCCGAAGTACCAGAAGGCCACCGCGGCGGCCAGCGCGAATTGCTGGCAGGCAAAGATAAACTCAACCGTCCAAATCAATCCGACCACATAGATCCAGAACATGCTGCGCAAAGTGCTCGCATCCGCATACTCTATGCGCGTAATCGCTGTGTCAGGTGAGAAGAAACAAGAATTAGACAAATTTCCAACAAATATTTGCGCTGCACCTGCAGAAGCAATTATATATAATGCACAAGTAGCAAGGCATATAAGTTTTATACATAAAAATATATATATATGTATGTGCTTATGTATGTATGTATGTGTGTCTGTATGCGTGTGAGTGTGTGCGTGCGTGTATGTATGTATTTTTGTATATATGTATGCATGCATGATTGTTTTCTAGTACCAAACGCAGGCGAAGCTCAGTTGTCGCTGTCCTGCAAATTTGAATAAAACGAATTTTTGCCAAGTGCTGTCCTCCTCGATTCTCAAGAATTCAAGTAGACTCTGCTGTTTTCTGGCTAAGCTAGTAGTGTGTGCTTTTTTTTTGGCTTTTTTTTTGGTGGTTTTTTTTGGTGGTTTTTTTTTTGGTGGTTTTTTTTTGGTGGTTTTTTTTTTGGTGGTTTTTTTTTGGTGTCTGTGTGTGTGTGTGTGTCTGTATGTATGTATGTATGTATGTATGTATGTACATATGTATGTATGTGCGTATGTATGTAAGTACACATGTATGTATGTATGTATGTTTATACGTATGTGTGTATGTATGTACATATATGTGTATGCTACATGCATGCATGTTTGCATATATTAAAACATACATGCATACATATATATAAAAACATGCAACAAGCATGCAGCATGCACACAACTTTTACATGCACAAATGCATGTATATATGCGCATGCATGCATGCATATATTGATATATGCACAAATGCATGTATATATGCGCATGCATGCATGTATACATGCGCATGTATGTACGCATGTATGCAAATCGGACAAAACTGAACGTGCACCTTCATCAAATAAGGTAAGACAAACATATAAAGTATTTTATACAAAGATAAAACGCCTAGCTTCGGCATGCCGAAGACTTAATACCCTTGCATCTGGCACTTAAGCATATTTTAGACAAATAGTGTATGTACATAGAGTTTAAAGAACAAAAGAAAAATTCCGAATTGGGGGATTAGATTAGGATGAAGGATGACATATCACTTACACATTAACATAACCAGTGTTTTTTTTTATCAACCAACAACCAAAAATAAAAGAATACATTCAGGATTAATATTTGAAGTAAGTCCTGGGCAAACGCATCACAGTTAATAAATATTATCTAAATGTTGTATCGTTCATTTAAAGTCTGGCAGAGCTATTAGGTATAAAAGTTAGGCTCTGCAAGCTTCCACAACATGTTTAAAGCTCACTTAGGTTAGCAAGGAGCTTAGTTTAGGATCTTAGACTGGTTGCTTACTTCTCTCATCGCCTCCGGGAGCTGTCTGATTGAGCAACATGGCCGCCGCATTGGCCGGCAGCGTCGGATGCACGGCATTGCTGTGAAACGGTGCGATGGGGCTCTGATCGGGCGTGGTGGCGGTGACCAGACAAATGACGACAACAACCCAAAAGGCCAAGAATGCAATCAGCACCAGAAATGCCAAAAGGGGGGCGATCAGCAGGCCTGGTAAATTCATCATGCAAACGCCGGCCTCCTCGAAGAGCGCAGCCAAGCCGGAAAGTTTGTTTTTAAGGAAATAAATGACGACCAGCAGAATGACCTGCAATGCAAGATAAATATATCACAATAATTGAGCCACTTAATCAGGTACTCACCATGGTGATGGTGGCCAGAACGGCAAGCGTGAGCACCGCCTGCTGATTGCGCAGAAACTCCTCCAGCTGTGAATATTGCGTGTTGCCCGTCTTGTTGCGTATGCCATAGTAGGCATACCAGAGCGCGCCAGTCAGTCCAACGCTGGCCACAATTACCAGCACGCAAATAAGCCAGGACACAATGCGGGACAGCCAATGCATCATGGTCACCAAAGCAATCGAGATGACTGCGCAAAGATAACATTAATGCATATTAAGCCAGAAATTATGATAATTGTGGACACATACGCAGGGAAACGGCGCAGACAATGGCTATTATATGCCAGGTGGAATAGATGTCGCCCAGAAACTGTTGCGCCACATCCCAATTGTTGAGCATTTTGTACATTTCCTTCACCTCCTTGCTGGACTGCTTGGGCACACAGCGATGCAGCACGGGCGAGCTAAAATATAAAAGTAGTTAGATAAGCTTGAAAATCATATGCAGCACAGTTACCTCTCGAGGACGGGCAGACTGGGACATGGGCCAAGCGTGTTAAAGATTTTGTCATCTTTGGTCATGCCCGGCCTATCGAGCTGATCCATATTATAGTCATATTTGCAGAATTGGGCGCCGGTTTCCGTAAAGTATTGCTTCAGCTCCCTTGGCTGACTGAGCGTGCGCTTGGGACAGCTTTTAACGCAGATCTTTAAGGCCTTCTTCAGCTCCTTAACGTCAAAGTAAAACAATTCCGGCTTGTCAATCGTATTCATGCCCGACAAAGGAAAGTTCTGAAAACGTTCATTGTGCTGAACACCGCAGGTATTCCCAAAGGAATCATAGCCATTGATCAGACGCAACGGGTTGCCAAAAACGAACGAGAATATCGCAATGACAATCTGCAAGCAAAGTAAACATATAATGACAAATGATCTAATCTATATGCAAATATCTCTTATATGTCTAGGTAATTGCCACTGTTCGAGTTGGGCCAACGCCCACGCTACTTGGCATGACAAGCGGCATTCTCCGAAAGACATGGGAATAGCGTGTCCTAAACCTATTTAAAATTATAAGGAACTTTAATAACTGTCTGTGTATGCATGGGCAAATCCCCTGCCTAAACACATAATTCATCATGGCCAGCTTTTCATTAGTAAAATTAGTAATTCCATGCTCATATGACGGCGATGACGACACACGCTTCAGTTCCCTCCAGCGACCCCCCCCCCCCCCTCCCCCACACCCCTCTCCCGCATCCATGTATCAGTCTGATTAATCTGCGCAGCTTTCACTTTCTCTCAGCATATTTGAACAAATGCTGCCTGCACACGTTTCTGCATTATATACACAGCTGCAAAAATGCATTAAATTTTATTTGTTCAACATATTTACCAGAAATAGCCAAAACAATATGTAAATAGCCAGCCAGAAGACGTCCGTGCAGGAGCGGTATTTGGGTCTGTTTCGATTATTTGAGGCTTCGCTTTCGCCATCCTTGCTCTCAGCACAGCCCATGTTCGTATTTCGCTTTATATATAATTCTTAATATTAGTTTTAACTTAGATTTGTTGAGCCAAACAATTATTGTTTTTCTTTTTTCTTCACAACCAAAACCGCGACTAGTCTGACCTGCCAGGGCTGCAGACGTCAATAGCGATATTGTTATGCAAATATCGATATGCAATATGCAAAATAATCGATAAGTATTTGAAGTTGAAACCTATCAAAATAACTTAACGTCATTTCAAACACTCCGTTTCACTGGTTTACGCATAATTTATTCAAAGTTCGAGTTGATTAAACTTGTTGACTAATATGTAACTTATTTCTTACTCGTAAGCTTAATAAATGTTAACAAATTGTTACTTAGTTTTCATAACCTGAAGCTGACGAAAATAATTTACTCTGTGTTTGATAAACAAATTGGAAGTTCGTATACATTAAATAAAAAAATCCTAACTTACGTTTGGCAAATCGCTTACAAACTTTGCCAAAATACTACAGAAATTGTCATTCCAAAATTGTTCGTTTTCTGTGCAACTGCTAATGAACAATTTTCGAACAAGATTTTGTACGCGCCAATTTCTAATACTAAATTTGAATGCTCTTAAATTTCCTACTTATCAATAATTATGTTAAAGACACATTTTTAAATCCACACATTGTCAAATCTGTTGCTCATTCTTCACTTAATCTCACTTCTCAACCGTGACCTTGATGCCACCTTTAACGATCGCCTCCGCCGGCGGCTGTCCAAATCTCCGGCTCTGATTGGAGCTGCCGCTCTTGCGGCGTATGCTACTGCTCCCATTGGATCGGGGCTTGGTGGCGTCGGGCACCGGCTCGCTTTGACTCTGGCTGCGCTGCGACTCCGGCTCAAAGTCGTCGGGGATTGGCTTGTAGGTGCGTATGCCGGAATTGGAGCGCACGGGCAGCAGCGTGACCAAACGATGTGGACTTGGCTCCGTGGACGTTGCCTCGGCAAACTGGGAAGTCTTCAGCAGCTCCTCGTACTTGAGTGGATCCACCACCTCGACCTCCGCCTCGCCGACCACGGGAATCGCAGCCCCAAGCACTTCAGTGGATCCATCTTCCATAAAACTAGACATAGGCCGGATAAATGGTTCACGCTGCTGCAGCGGCAGCTCGACAAAGTTCTTGACACTGGACTCCATTATGGGAGCCGACGTGGTGGTTGTCGTCGTGCTAGGCTTCACCTTGGTCTCATTCCGTTGACCGTGCTTCAGTTTGTTTTGCGAGAAGGGCGGAAATTTCATTGGCGCACTCGGCGTGATGCCCAGCTTGGAGGCGAGCGTATCAAAGATGAGGGATATGTCCTGTATATTGCTGGCATTGTTGATCCTGGTCTTGATATCGTGCAGCGTAAAGTTCTCCGTCTTCTCCACGTCCTCGGAGACCCAAGCCTGCAGCGTCTTATTGAAAACCTTGCGCATATTGCCGCCGTAACCGAAATTAACCGGCGCCGAGCTGTTCACGAACTCCCACTTGGAGTGCGAGGGAAACAAATTGGAGTCGTCCAGCATGGTGGGTCGCTCGCTGTTCGGACGTATGCGATTCTTCTTGGTGGAGCTAGGCGCAGTCGTGGTTGTCGTTGTTGTTGTGCTCGTCGTGGAGCTGGTCGAGGAGGAGCTGGTCGTCGTGGAGGAAGGCGCATTGCGCTGCAGTATCAGCTCCTTGAGATTCATAAAGTTGGGCTTGGGCTGGGCAACATTGGGAGCTTCCAGTTCCACCTCCGCTTCCTCCGGCTCGATGCGTGACTCAATTCTCTCCGGCTCCGGCTCCGGCGTTGTGGTGCCATTTTCCTCCTTGGGCAGATTCAGCAGCTCCATGAAGAACTCACCAATCGTGTCGGCGAGCACAGAGTTTTCCGTGGGCTTCTGGCCGGGCACAGCGGGTGCCCTGGTGCTGCTATCCAGCTGGATCTTCAGCGGCGTCGTCGAGCCCGAGACTGTCATCGTGCCCAGCTTGGTCGTCGTGGTTTCCAGCTTGGCCTCCTGATTGGTGGCATTCTCCTGCTTCTTGGCAATGACCCCGCCGCCCAGATGCTCGAATTTGCCGCTGCTGCCCTCAATGTTGAACTGCAGCTTGTTCATGCCGCCCACCGTGGGATTGATGGGCCTAAAGGGCGGCACGATCACATCATCGATCAGGGGCACCGGCAACGGATGCGGCTCGACGAGCGCCCCGCCCAACCGTTCGATATTCTCGGTGCCGGGCATGAAGACGGGACTGCCGAAGTTGTGATAGAAGAGCATGTCCTGCTCCTGCTGCGGCTGCGGCTGGCTGGGCATGTCCAGTTTGCCGTCCGGTTTGCGAAAACCGGACATGGACATAAACGGATCGAGGGTCACGCCCATGGCGGGCATGGCAGCCGCCGGCGGCGTCGGATTATCAGCTATAAAAGGCAGCTCCAGTTCATCGATGCGACGCTGTGGCAAATGGTTGACGGTGGGCGTGGGCGTGGGCGTGGGTGCGCCTCCCAGTCCAGGCAATGTTTTGGTGGGAAAAGCCGGCGGCGGACCCGGCAACAGTTCCGGCACCTCGCGATGTATGGGCCGCCACGGCTGTGTGTCCAGTATGGGAAATGTGGTAAACAGATTCGCATCCAATTTGGGCAACACAACGGTCGAGGAGGCGGGATAAGCGAATGACCCCGGCGTGGTGGTCACCGGAGGCGTCACTGTAGTAGTTGTCGAGCTGGTTGTGGGCTTGGGTGTAGTCGTGGTTGTTGTGGTGGTGGAGGGTGTTGTGGTTGACCTTGCGGTTGTTGTGGAGGTTGTGCTTGTTGTGGACGGAGCTGTTGTTGTTGTGGTTGTTGTGGTTCTTCTTGTCGTGGTTGTCGTGGGCTTTCTGGTGGTTGCCCTGGTTGTGCTCTGCCTGGTGGTGCTGGTGGGGCTCTGCGGCGTTATGGTCGTCAGCTTGTCCACGCTGGGCTTCTTGGGCTTGACGCGCAGCGAGTAGGGCGTCACCGCAATGGACTTGGGCGGCAAGCTGCTGCTGCTGGTGCTGTGATAGGAACGCGTGGGTGATGTCTTTTTGCGAGCGATGTCCGCATCCGTTTTGGTTATCTCAAAGGAACCCTCGAAGGAGCCCTGGATGACGGGCGCGTTCTCCACATCAATGTCTGGCTCATCATCCGGCGAATGCGGTCGGACAGCCGGATTGCGTGGCTTGGGTGTGCTCAGCGCGGAAGGTTTTGTTTGCAGTTGTCCAGCGGGTGGCGTGCCCTTCTTCATCAGACGCTTCTCCAGCTGCGTTTGGCTGGTGGGCACGGTTTGCTGCAAGAGTTGGAGGAAGATGGGTTTGGTCAAGGATCTCAGCTGCTTAAAGCTGGCCGCGCTTACCGCTTCCTTTAGTATAGCTGCAGAGCGCACCACCTGCTCGTCCAGGATGCGCTTGATCTCCAGGGATTCGGTGTCCAGGCGCAGCGAGCGGTAGAGCGATTTGCTGGCGGATGTCTCCAGAAATAGCGACTCCTTGATGTACTCCTCCACGCTGAGTATGTTCCTGCAAAGGAATAAGCAAATGGCTTAGCTTTTGGCTGAGAATTCGGTGCTCGTCTACTCACTGCGGCAGCTTGCGCACGTCCAGGAACAGGCGAAAGGAGACCTTTATCAAAGGACCCTCGCCGAAGCCCCAGACATCCGTGCGGAGCGGCTGCAGTCCGTTGTCCGTTAGGGCGCGCTCCACGAACCGCTTGTAGAAGTCGATCTTCTGCTTGTAGGTCGTCGTGTGGTTATACTTCAGCCCGGTCGAGTACAGATCCCCCTTGGCAATGCGAAACGAGCCCTCAAAGCCCAGTATAGCTGCAAGCAAGGAAGTTGAATCTCACTCCGATCTCCGATCCGATATCTATCTGCCCAAATACTCACGATCCTCCAGCGTGGCCTTGATCGAGCTGAAGTAGAAGGCCAGCCCGGCTATGGAGATCACGGCCAGCAGCACAATAAACGCGGCCGTCGTTAAGATAATCGAGAAGGAACGATTCTTTGGATAATGCGCATGCGTCTTGGTCGAGAACGTCGAAGGCGCTATATTCCGTCCGTCCCGCCAAATGCCCCACGTATTATAGCCATACTGACTGTTGAGGCTGTGCTCGTTCGTGTACGAAGGCTGCTTGTTCATGTGATAATAGGCGCCCAGCTGGGAGCGACGGCCCAGCGTGTTCTGATAATTATATTCGGAGGTATTCTGCGTGGATGCATAAAAGGGAATTTATATGATGAGTTCTGTTTGTGAACCATGTGAAAGGTTTAAAGGGCGTAGATTTTGTCTGGAGACGAGTCGATTCGAAGTCCAAATGAAACCCAAACCCGTATCATCTTCTCAGACATCCAGCTTCAGAGACAACTAACGAAGTTCGAACTAGATTTCTTGAACCATATTTGATGCCCGTTTTTGGTAAGTTGAATATAACTAAAGCTAAATATGAACTAGAAAACAAGCTTGTATGCATAGGATATGGATGGGATGTATGGATAAGATATTTGATATTAATTTGGGATGTCTATAGAGGATATTCGAGGATACAATTTTTAACATGAATTTCGACCAAAAAAGATGTTCCCAGATTTAATAGCCAAATTGATAAAGAGGCCAAATTATGAACAAAAAGTCAAACCACGACAAAATCGGTTGAGATTTGACCGAGTTATGGGGTTGGGAAATTTTGATCCATGTCTCTATATCTTGGGGTCCGATTTAGACATGAACTTGGACCAAAAAATATGTGTTCAGATTTAAATGCCAGATTAATCTGGAGGGATTCCCATGAACAAAAAACCAAACCTCGTGAAAATCGGATCAGATTTGACCGAGCTATGGCGGTGGGAAATTTCGACCCACGTCTATATACGAATCTTGGGGTCCGATTTAGACATGAATTTCGACTAAAAAATATGTGTTCAGATTTAAATGCCAGATTAATCTGGAGGGATTCCCATGAACAAAAAACCAAACCTCGTGAAAATCGGATGAGTTTTGACAGAGTTATGGGGTTGGGAAATTTTGACCCATGTCTATATACGAATCTTGGGGTCCGATTTAGACATGAATTTCGACTAAAAAATATGTGTTCAGATTTAAATGCCAGATTAATCTGGAGGGATTCCCATGAACAAAAAACCAAACCTCGTGAAAATCGGATGATATTTGACCGAGTTATGGGGGTGGGAAATTTTGACCCATGTCTATATACGAATCTTGAGGTCCGATTTAGACATGAATTTCGACTAAAAAATATGTGTTCAGATTTAAATGCCAGTTTATTCTAGAGGGAAAACCATGAACAAAGAGTCAAACCTCGACAAAATCGGTTGAGATTTGACCGAGTTATGGGGTTGGGAAATTTTGACCCATGTCTATATACGAATCTTGGGGTCCGATTTAGACATGAATTTCGACTAAAAAATATGTGTTCAGATTTAAATGCCAGATTAATCTGGAGGGATTCCCATGAACAAAAAACCAAACCTCGTGAAAATCGGATGATATTTGACCGAGTTATGGGGGTGGGAAATTTTGACCCATGTCTATATACGAATCTTGAGGTCCGATTTAGACATGAATTTCGACTAAAAAATATGTGTTCAGATTTAAATGCCAGATTAATCTGGAGGGATTCCCATGAACAAAAAACCAAACCTCGTGAAAATCGGATGAAATTTGACCGAGTTATGGGGTTGGGAAATTTTGACCCATGTCTATATACGAATCTTGGGGTCCGATTTAGACATGAATTTCGACTAAAAAATATGTGTTCAGATTTAAATGCCAGATTAATCTGGAGGGATTCCCATGAACAAAAAACCAAACCTCGTGAAAATCGGATGAAATTTGAACGAGTTATGGGGGTGGGAAATTTTGACCCATGTCTATATACGAATCTTGGGGTCCGATTTAGACATGAATTTCGACTAAAAAATATGTGCTCAGATTTAAATGCCAGATTAATCTGGAGGGATTCCCATGAACAAAAAACCAAACCTCGTGAAAATCGGATGAAATTTGAACGAGTTATGGGGGTGGGAAATTTTGACCCATGTCTATATACGAATCTTGGGGTCCGATTTAGACATGAATTTCGACTAAAAAATATGTGTTCAGATTTAAATGCCAGATTAATCTGGAGGGATTCCCATGAACAAAAAACCAAACCTCGTGAAAATCGGATGAAATTTGAACGAGTTATGGGGGTGGGAAATTTTGACCCATGTCTATATACGAATCTTGGGGTCCGATTTAGACATGAATTTCGACTAAAAAATATGTGTTCAGATTTAAATGCCAGATTAATCTGGAGGGATTCCCATGAACAAAAAACCAAACCTCGTGAAAATCGGATGAAATTTGAACGAGTTATGGGGTTGGGAAATTTTGACCCATGTCTATATACGAATCGTGGGGTCCGATTTAGACATGAATTTCGACTAAAAAATATGTGTTCAGATTTAAATGCCAGTTTATTCTAGAGGGAAAACCATGAACAAAGAGTCAAACCTCGACAAAATCGGTTGAGATTTGACCGAGCTATGGGGTTGGGAAATTTCGACCCATGTCTATATACGAATCTTGGGGTCCGATTTAGACATGAATTTCGACTAAAAAATATGTGTTCAGATTTAAATGCCAGATTAATCTGGAGGGATTCCCATGAACAAAAAACCAAACCTCGTGAAAATCGGATGAATTTTGACCGAGTTATGGGGTTGGGAAATATTGACCCATGTCTATATAAGTACGAATCTTGGGGTCCGATTTTGACATGAATTTCGACTAAAAATATGTGTTCAGATTTAAATTCCAGTTTATTCTATAGGGAAAACCATGAACAAAGAGTCAAACCTCGACAAAATCGGTTGAGATTTGACCGAGTTATGGGGTTGGGAAATTTTGACCCATGTCTATATACGAATCTTGGGGTCCGATTTAGACATGAATTTCGACTAAAAAATATGTGTTCAGATTTAAATGCCAGATTAATCTGGAGGGATTCCCATGAACAAAAAACCAAACCTCGTGAAAATCGGATGAAATTTGACCGAGTTATGGGGGTGGGAAATTTTGACCCATGTCTATATACGAATCTTGGGGTCCGATTTAGACATGAATTTCGACTAAAAAATATGTGTTCAGATTTAAATGCCAGATTAATCTGGAGGGATTCCCATGAACAAAAAACCAAACCTCGTGAAAATCGGATGAAATTTGACCGAGTTATGGGGGTGGGAAATTTTGACCCATGTCTATATACGAATCTTGGGGTCCGATTTAGACATGAATTTCGACTAAAAAATATGTGTTCAGATTTAAATGCCAGATTAATCTGGAGGGATTCCCATGAACAAAAAACCAAACCTCGTGAAAATCGGATGAGTTTTGACCGAGTTATGGGGTTGGGAAATTTTGACCCATGTCTATATACGAATCTTGGGGTCCGATTTAGACATGAATTTCGACTAAAAAATATGTGTTCAGATTTAAATGCCAGATTAATCTGGAGGGATTCCCATGAACAAAAAACCAAACCTCGTGAAAATCGGATGAAATTTGACCGAGTTATGGGGTTGGGAAATTTTGACCCATGTCTATATACGAATCTTGGGGTCCGATTTAGACATGAATTTCGACTAAAAAATATGTGTTCAGAATTAAATGCCAGATTAATCTGGAGGGATTCCCATGAACAAAAACCAAACCTCGTGAAAATCGGATGAAATTTGACCGAGTTATGGGGTTGGGAAATATTGACCCATGTCTATATAAGTACGAATCTTGGGGTCCGATTTTGACATGAATTTCGACTAAAAAATATGTGTTCAGATTTAAATGCCAGTTTATTCTAGAGGGAAAACCATGAACAAAGAGTCAAACCTCGACAAAATCGGTTGAGATTTGACCGAGTTATGGGGTTGGGAAATTTTGACCCATGTCTATATACGAATCTTGGGGTCCGATTTAGACATGAATTTCGACTAAAAAATATGTGTTCAGATTTAAATGCCAGATTAATCTGGAGGGATTCCCATGAACAAAAAACCAAACCTCGTGAAAATCGGATGAGTTTTGACCGAGTTATGGGGTTGGGAAATTTTGACCCATGTCTATATACGAATCTTGGGGTCCGATTTAGACATGAATTTCGACTAAAAAATATGTGTTCAGATTTAAATGCCAGATTAATCTGGAGGGATTCCCATGAACAAAAAACCAAACCTCGTGAAAATCGGATGAAATTTGACCGAGTTATGGGGGTGGGAAATTTTGACCCATGTCTATATATGAATCTTGGGGTCCGATTTAGACATGAATTTCGACTAAAAAATATGTGTTCAGATTTAAATGCCAGATTAATCTGGAGGGATTCCCATGAACAAAAAACCAAACCTCGTGAAAATCGGATGAAATTTGACCGAGTTATGGGGGTGGGAAATTTTGACCCATGTCTATATACGAATCTTGGGGTCCGATTTAGACATGAATTTCGACTAAAAAATATGTGTTCAGAATTAAATGCCAGATTAATCTGGAGGGATTCCCATGAACAAAAACCAAACCTCGTGAAAATCGGATGAAATTTGACCGAGTTATGGGGGTGGGAAATTTTGACCCATGTCTATATACGAATCTTGGGGTCCGATTTAGACATGAATTTCGACTAAAAAATTTGTGCTCAGTTTTGAATGACGGATTAATCTAGAGGTCAAATTATGAAAAGAAAACTTAATCTCATGAAAATCGGATGAGATTTGACCGAGCTATAGAATCGAACCTAAACTTAAGGCAAGGAACTAGTTCAAACGACGAACCAAATTAACGATATTTTTTTGTGTTTGCAGCCCTGGCTTGAGTTCGCATTAACGCTTTTTTGAAAACCTTTTTGAGGTTAGGTAGTTGGAAATTGTAGATTTCTTTTCGAGCAGGGTATTCTGCAGTCGGTTACAGCTAATGACAACTTTTTTATATATTGATTCTTTTCGATGGAGTTGAAAAGTGTGTTTCTAAAGCGTGTCAGAGTGTTGGTCTCTTGGTCGGCCAACGAAAAACAATTAATCGCAACTAATTAGTTAATTGTCTAAGCACTTGGCTAATGAGCTAATGAGAGGGCAATGCGAAACTTTCTCAAATTTCCGCTAGACCCTTCTGCATGCTTTCTTTCTACAAATCTTTTATTTCGATTTAGACTTGATTAGATTTGTTCAGCTAAGTTCTAACGGTTTGAGGCACTTGAAATCGTGTGATTCTTTATCTAAATTAATTATCATTAGCTAATTAATGTTGTCATCAGCGTTTTACGCATTTAATTCTCAATTCCGGCAGTCATTGCACTTTGCAGATAACAAAACTCTCTTGGAACTTTTGACAGAGCTTGGGAACTTTGACGGGCTTGATATCTTGTTGCTATACCCTGTATATTATTTTAAAGATGTGTTTAATTTCTGCAAACTTATGTAACAGACAGAAAAAAACCTTGTTCTAAGTATTTTATTAACTAAAATGATGCGTTGAGTTTTTTATAGCCGTGTTCGTCTAAAAATTGGATTGAATGCGTAAATCTCAGCGCTAGAAACTTTTTCATCGATAACGCGCTTCTTGTATCCGATAAATATCGTTTCATCTGCCCGATAAATATCGCGGCATATGCTCGATAAATATCATTTCATCTGCCCGATAAATATCGTTTCATATGCCCGATAAATATCGCGGCATATGCCCGATAAATATCGCTTTCTATTTTGTATGAAGAACTTTTTTGTTTATCAAGATATCTTGACCAAATTCGGCATTTATTAGCTTTACTGTGCTCCTCATATATATGCAAAATCCCAACGACATCGGACCACTATATCATATAGCTGCCATGGGAACGATCAGTCGAAAATTAAGTTGTTGTGTGGAAAACTTTTTTGCTTTTCAAGATATTTTGAGCAAACTCGGCATTTAGAGATTTCATAATGCTCCCTACATTTGAGCAAAATCTGGTTTACATAGGTCGACTATATCATATAGCTGCCATAGGAACAATCGGTCGAAAATGAGGTACTTGTATGAAAAACTTTTTTGTTTATCAAGATACCTTAAGCATGCTCGGCAAGGGTATTAAATATTCGACCCTTCTTTCTCGTTTTTATCTCAATAAATAAGCACTTGTGCGTTGCGTACAGGGTATCTGCTAGCTGTCCCTTGTCGACTTTTTTTTTTTTTTTTGATTTTCCCCAATTGCCCTTTAACAGTCATTAGCTGTGGGGCATATACAGCCTGTCTTTACTCTACCAATCTAGCTTCTCTCTTCTCTCTCTTCGCTCTTCTCTCTTTTGCTCTCTTTCATTCTCCTGCCCCCACCCTCCCTCCCCCTTCTCTCTTGGTTGTTAGCTGGCCAGGTAATTGACAACCTGTTGTCGCAACAGCTGTTTCTCCCGGCCTGGCCTAAGCAAAATTCTTGTTAGTTTCCTTCTCCCTCTTCGCGTGCTCTTCGTTCTGTTCTGTTCTGTTCTGTTCTGTGGGTTCCGTGTTCGGCTGCTCTAGAGGTTCTCTAGAGAGAAAGTCATTCACCTTTTGCGTTCATCGCTCGTTGAAATTGTTTGACTTAATAACTAACTTGGCATCTGGCTGTGGCCGAGGTTTGAAATTCGACAAGCCTAAACAAATATGCAGTCGAGTTCTTTTATTTAACTGAATAAATAGAAAACACACAATTTTCTTGTGAGTTTATGTAATGCCTCAGCTTATCAAGAGTTCTTTATGTTTCTCCCGTAATTTAGATATTTAGCCCAGATTTTTGTTCTTGTCATGCAAATTAGCTTCTAATATTATTCACAGTCGAGTTGTATAACAGTTAAACGTTCTCTCACAATGATCTATGGACTAGATATAGCTGGGTTGGGCTGCGAGATTGATTATACGAACCATTTGCCGACATGTCTGCGTTCGATATATATCGCTGACGCCGGACAAGCTCTGGAAGTACTTCTTGGTGCCGTAGACTGTGTCCATCTTGGATTAGTTATCTGGAACTCTTTGTAGCTCTTGATTTGCTCTAGAAAAAAAAGAAAAAGAAATAACGGTTATTTACAGTGTTGTACAGCAGAGTTTTTTCAAGTGATTTAGTGGTTCCATTAACTGACTCGAACCTTTTACTAATTCATTTATCGCAGTGAACCATTCGTTCCCAGCTGATGCTTCGGACTCAAGTCTTATACTAGTTCATTTGTTTAAGTTCATCTGTCTTAGTGAGCTAGTCGTTCCATGAATTGAACCGGGAGCTGAATCAAACTCAAAACACCCTAGTTCATTTGTCTCAAGTGAGCCAGTCGTTGCCTGAACTGAACCAGCTACTGCTTCGGACTCAAGCCTTATACTAGTTCATTTGTCTCAAATGAACCAGTGTTTCTAGAACTGAACCAGCAGCTGCTTAGAGCTCGACTCTTATACTAGTTCATTTATAATTAGTTTCTATATATTTGGCAAATACTTCACTTTCATTAAAAAGTGGCATTTGCTTTCTTTTGGTCGAAACTTTAAGCTGATTGCTTCATCAGAGTTTTTTTTTTCCAGCACGCCAAAAACTTCCGGTGGCCAAATAACCGGCTCATCCTGTTTATCCGGCCTATGGAAATTCTCACTTTTCGCCAGGCAAAGGAAAACCAAAAAAAATAGAAAGAAAATAAAAAGAATGACAGAATATTGTTATGCACCAACTTGTCAACCGGTTTAGTTTAAACAAGAAGAGTTGCTCGGCTTAATTTTGAATTAACTCAAATAGATTCTGTCTTAATTGGCAAAAGCGAAAGCTATTCCACAAAAATCAAAACACAACAAATTTGTTTACCTGAGCCCCAAAACTAATTGGAGAACAACAAATTCAAAACAATTGTCTTGGAATTTTCACTCATCTTGAGCTTGGGAAATAAATACAAACAAAAATGCAGAACCCTCAACATAGTCGAGTGGCTTTTTACCCAAGTACAAGCCGAAGATGAGCCAAAGAAACCAGTTCTGGGTCTCGGCCTGGCTTGGCTTGGCTTGGCTGGGCAGGGTTATTGCTCGTGCCACCATCCCATATACATGCCTCGTATTTATTTTTCTTTTTTCCCCCTATGTATAATCAAAGCTTACAGAGAAACCTGTGTAAAAATAGATGCCAGGCATCGAGCACTAAAGAAAAAAAATAATAAAAATGATGGTCTTATGAGTTTTGAGCTCGTCTCTGAACTGTCAAAAGTAAAAGTTCTGCCTTGGTATGCGCTGATGATGACGAAGATTTTGTTGTCCCAAAGTTCAATGTTGTTGCTTGATGGAATCTTCAGGTGAAACTAATTGGTTTTGCCTTTTTCAGATACATACCCAAAGATAATATTGAAAGCTTTGCGTTAATCATCAGCTTCGGAAGTTAATTAAATTTTAAGGTTAGTTTTTGAAACGAACCAGTTCGAATTTAATTCACTTCGAAAAGTATTCATATACTCGCATAAGTCTTGATTTGAATAAGTTAAAAAAGTTTAATTAACTCTGGGAAAGTCCCTAAAACTGTTTTATTTAAGTGAATTCCACATTTGAATCCAAGTTCACGAACCAATTGAAAGAGCAAGCCTTTGCTTTTGCACCGTGAACCGAACTAGTTCGTTTTCTTTTGGATTTCCAGGCATCAGGTAACGTACAGCTTTAGCCTAAATCTTGTTTGACTTTAATTTGCTTATGGCAAATGATTTAGTTAGTAAATAAAACGGCACATTTTCCGCATGAGGTAAACAAAGAAATTAACATAATGCGCGGATAAAAACCAGCGCCAAAAACGCGCGGCGATGCAGAAAACGCTTCCAAAGTATAAGTATAAGTACAATTAATGTGAACACAGACAACGACACACTTATACGTATACGTATAAGAACTATCATGAGTGTGGCCAGACTGACTGACAGGCAGGCAGACAGACAGACAGGCACTTAACTGTAGACACACACATACATATGTACATATGTGTGCATGTAAGTGCTGCCAGAAAAACGCCTGGCGAGCCATTGCCATTGCCATTGGGTTGACGTTGACCCAGTTGTGCATGCGCGGTGCGGCGCGGCGCGCAGCGGGCGTCAGCCGAGAGCCAAAAACAGTCAAGAGTCAGCGCTTGAGGCGCAGGCCCAGACCCCAAAACTGGAAACCTGACCGTTTGCGCGAGCGTGCGTCCGTGTGTGTGTGTGTGTTTATGGAGAAAGAACAAATTGAATTACATGTACATGTGCATGTATGTGCGTGAAGAAAAAAAAATAGTTAAAAAAGAGACGACACTCAGTCGCAATTCGGCGGCATTAAGACGTTGTCAGCGTCGTCCACGCATAAGTTGATTAAATTTCTCGCATTAGCCGATTTTCTCCCATTGGTGAAATTGTAAAAGCAACAACAACAACAACAAAACCTAAGAATGATTGATGAGAATTTGGTCAGCCGAAACTCTAACGGAAGCCATGCAACCTGTTTGGTCCACATAACCATTGTTGAATTGTTGAACTGGCGTCGCGGCAGGCGTCAAAATGCGCACGCTGGCATTAACATGTGAAACGATTTTTTTCGACCAGATTATAATCAAGCACATCCACTTTCAATAATAATGGCCACACAAAGTGTCAGCGCCGAAGAAAGTGAAATGTGAACAACATTTGGACATTTCGAAATGCTTATCAACAAAAATATAAAAAAAAAAAACAGTTACAGTAAAACATGCCAGCGAAATGGAAAGTTTACTTTGAAGCGCAACGCGCATCTTCGTTAAAACTAGAAGATCGAAAACAAAAAACATTCCAACAATGCAACAAAAAAGTTGACAACTCAAATTTCCCAAAAAAAAAAAAAAATTTGAAAGTATTTATTTATTTATCTTTCTTGGTTTTCGCACAGCAGATTGTTAGAGATGTCATAATTATTCGCTGATTTATTGGTTTAGATCGGAGGAACTGGAAATTTAGACGAAATTTATGCAATCCATTGATTGGCTGAATTGTGGTAAAAGTAGGCAGCTGGCAATATAATGAACGCACTCATGAATGAAAATAATTGTATAATAGTATAATAAGTAATTGTTGGGACGCATACATGAATATGCAATATGCAACCGTTTGCAATTTCATAATCATTCTAACGGCGTCCTCGTGAGCGCCTTACTAGAGCAGAACAGCAACAACAGCAACAACAACAACGGCGGCGGCGGCAAGAGCCCGCAGCGAGCATTGCCAGCGCTCATAAACGTTGAGAGGTGGCAACGCCGCACGCGGAACCTGCCAAAAGTGCATTTCATTGGCAGATGACAAGCGAACGGAAAGCGACGATGACGATAAAAGCACTACGACAAACTCTGCACGCGAATGAGAATTACATAGTTCGTTTGGGGTTGGGGGGGTATTCATTAAATGCATTAACCGTTACGCTTTAACCGGCGACCAAACTAAATACATATGTATGTAATTAAAGGCAAACAAATCTGACAGCGCTGCCGCGCGTTCCCAGCCCAAAAATCATGTGTGTGTGTGCGTCTGCTTGTGCATGTGTGTGTGTGTATAGAGGGGAATAGAATGTGGCTGCGCGCGGGAATTTTAACTGTAGCGAAAATGTGGAGTCACCCTGTGTGTACATGTATTTAATGTAGTTGTTGTTGTCATTTGCAACCGCTACACTGACTGCTAACAGTATTGGTCTGCGTGCTAAACGGTTTTTAATTAATTGCAATTTGTAGTGTCACCTTGTTAAGGTATTTAATGTAGCTGTTGCTCAACGTTAAACTGAACAACTTTTATGTGTGAGTTTAGGTAAGTGCGAAACGGTTTTTTTACAGTGCTGTATAAGGCCGTTTGTTGTCGTCAGCAGCTTTTGTCAGCAGTGCTGCCAGTCAAATTGTTATTTTCAGTGCTGATTAACTAAAATCAAGTTGGGGCAAATTGAAAAAGAAAAGAAACAGCTGTGATATCTTCTCCAATGCAAATAGGAAGCGTCAAGTGTGTTTAGTATGCAGCTAGACAGCTCGCAGATAAGAACCAGAGAGTTCCAAGTGCAATTAGTGCCACGATCAAAATGCACGACACGCAGATGAGCGAATGCATTTCATTTTCTTTTTTTTTTCTCTCTGTCTGCTTTTTCTTCTGCTTCTGTGTGTCTTCTTGTGTGTGTGTGTGTGTGTGTGTGTGTGTGTGTGCCTGGAAATTCCAACGAAGTGCATTTGCTTTACCGCAACGAACTCGGTCGCTTTGGGGTCGATTTGCGCTCTCTCTCTCTCTCTCTCTCTCTCTCTCTCTCTCTCTGTTGAAAAGTGCGGCCCATTAGCTGTGATTTTACATCATTTGAATGCAATTTAGCTCTGCAGTTTAGCGTTATGTTCTATTTCGCCCGCGACGCAATCCCGTCGATTCCGAGCAGTCTGTCATTTTGAGGCTAAAGCCGACATTAGCTGCATTGTCCGAGAATCGTGCGCCGACCAGGTGAGTCAAGAGCCGGGGGCAAGGTGGAGGCCAAGAGTGGGGGCCTATCAATGGTAATTCGGGCCAGCTTGGGGCTCATAATGATGTTGAATTTCTTGCCAATTTGCGAAGCCACACGGCCCAGCTCTGCGATCGTGTGGGTGTGCGGGGGAAGCGCAGGGGGAGCGGGGGGAACACCCAAAAGCCGCTTAACGAGGCGAAAGTGTAAATATATGTAGAATTTTGCCCAAAAACGAAATCAACCAAAAAAAATAATTAAAAAAATGTACATAATTTATAATCGACGTCAAGTTGGCGCCGCGCATTTTTCTATTAGTATTTCTCTTTTGATCCACTTCCGAAGCGCCGCGCGCGAAACGAGTGAAAATGAAAATTTCCGCCCAGAAGTGTGGCCAATCGAGGAAAATGCTGTGCACGTCAGGCCAAAACAATTTTGGCCTTGATTTTTGGAGTGCGTCTCGGCTCGACGTGTGAGTGTTTCATGATCTTGGCCAAATCTTTCGCAAGCACTTTCACATTTTCATGTGCATCCCAATCAATGAGTCGGTCGCCAGATCTATTCGGGTCGCACGCCAGCACTTCCTTCGTTTTGGCCAAATGGTAGCAATTTCCGTTTGCAAAACGTTCTGATACAATCACCTCCGGTCGCCCGCTGTGAATCAGATAATAATAATAATGGAGCTGTGCTCTGCTCGGCTCTGTTCAATTGGCCCAGTTCGCAAATGTGGTAATTGCGCGCGGTTAGCGACATTTAAAGCCAAATGCACAAAGAACAACGTTCTGCTGCTGCTCCCCCTCCCCCCTCTCCCACTCTCTTCCTCTCTCTCACCTGTTGCCCCGCCGTGTTTTGGGCCAAGTTCTTTTGTGTTTGCCGCCCTTTTTCTGAACTTTTACCATTAAAGCCGTTTTCTCATTTTCTAATTTTGTTGTGCCCGTCTTTTATGGCCAGTTTCATTTGCACAAAGCCATCATTTTTAGCTTTGCTTGGTTTTTATTGCTCTTGAAAAACGAAAAAAAAAAACTAAAGCAATTTTTTTGCTATTTCTTTTGGCTGTCGGGTGTCGATTAAATGCAACCAGTTTTGTACCTTCGACCACTTTTTCTAGTTTAATGCATGTCCAACTAGTTTATGACCGCGGGGGGCGGGGGGTCTAACCTGACAGCAAATGCAAAATATAAGGGGGGGCTTTGTCTTACCAAAATGTGATTTCTGTTGAGTTCCAATTGGATCCAGAATTGCGTTCCATTTGTCCAAGTTCTAAGTCGTAAATGCCCAATAAGTATTCATTTGTTGTTGCTAATAACTATTTTGTAAGTTATAAAGCACATTCAACGATTTTAACGGTATATATTTTGCACAATCAACGGCTTATAAAGTTAGCGCAAACATTTTCAAATACAACTGAACGCGCCCGCAGCTGAACGAAAACTGAATCCAATTGGAGCTGCAATCACAGTTACACTCATCTCCAAAGAGAATTGAAGATGAGCAGCAAAGAGAAATTAACAGTTGCGCAGGCGCAACACTCACTCTCACCATCGCTCTCTCTCGCTCTCGCTCACGCTCTCGCGCGCTCTCTCTGTTGCTTTTCTACTTTCGATCAGGTTGGCAGGCCCAAGCGTAGCCTCTGCGGCGCCAAAATCAATTCTTAAGCAAATAATTGACATTAATTGTAATACATTTGAAACGAATACAATTTATTTATACATTTTGCTGAACATGCTTTAAACAACAACGGATTTTTAGCCTGTTATGTGTGCCAGTTGATTGTGCAGTTAGCCGTCTGCCAGTTGGTTGTCCCACGACTTGGCAATCATGGCGAGGGCATGACGCTTTAGTTTGGGGCCAATCAACGGATTCATTTGGGCCATGTAGCAGCAGAGCCAGAAGAGCCAGCAGCAGGCTGCGGTCAGCATCAGAATGCAGCGTATCAGATTCTGATGCGGGCCCTTCGGAGTCATAATGGGCATACCGATGCCCACAGCTCCCCAGACGGCCGTGAAAAACAATACCGGAAAGAATGCAGCGCCCATATTTGGCTTAAAACTACTTCTTTTTTTTCAGCTGCAAAGTCGCACAATTTATAAATTTTGCAAATACACTTTTGAATCGAGCTAAGATTTTGCTTCCAATCAGAATAAATATTCGTAAAATCAATAAAAAGCCGATAACGAAATGACGCTTGTTATCGATACTTGTAGTCGACCACCTACTCGATACAAAGGGCTGTTTATTACTTGAGGTTGTGGTGGCAGCTGAGGCTGTGGTGCGTCGCAGCTGAAATTTTATTACACATAATTTCAACGCGTAACTAAATAACTTTTATACATTAGGTAAGGTAATAGTTAACTAGCAGCTAAAATAGTGGTTGCATCTCTAATTGTGGCTGAGAAAAATCAGTTTTGTGTTTGCAGTTGACCTTGGCTGTTTATGTTATCGTTAAGTTATCGATATTTGCTGGTGCACAATTTAAAATTCAGTTCTAGATGATTAACTGGACTTGCAGTGAGTTTGTCTGCACGGAGGCTGGCTGTGGTAGGGTATTCAACACCAGGTGGACACTAAAGCGACACTCCTCGACGCACCGGCAAGACACAAATACGACGCATGACTGCAAACAATGCAATAAAAACTTTTCCCGCAAAGATTCCCTGGATCGGCACAATCAGTAAGTTATCTGATTTCTGTTGAAATTTTCATTAAATCATGTCTTCTATCATTAGAATGTGTCACAGCAACATACTGTTAATGTATATGTGCTCGGTGGAAGGCTGCGGCAAGCTTTTTAGTCTTAAATCCACGCTCCATCGTCACAAATCCTCGCATACGGAATGCTTCACTTGCGAAGAGTGCGGCAGCAGCTTTACACGCAAGGACAACTTGACAAGACATAAAACGTAATACACTTTAACCGTTTTTTTTTTTTACTTTTTATATAAATTAATTTTCATAGAATTCATACAAAGAATCTGTCCAATAATTGCGAGGAGTTCAGCCAATCTCTAGAGAATACCCCTAATCTGCCGGAGTCAGAGACAATTGCATGCAAGGGAGGAGGCGATCACACCTATGCACTGTTAGCTAGTTAATTCGTGCAGTCTATCGGAAAACGGAATCAATAGTGATGCAACAGTGCGCACAGAATTTATCGATAGTTATAACATTTTTGTATCGCACTAATAAAGTAACAAGAAAATTGCCTTTTGTATAATTAAACGCGAGTGCATAGAAATTTGGCAAAATGACGATGCGACCAGATGATCATCGCAGAAAATGGGACAAGAACGAGTATCAAAAACTGGCCCAAGAGCGCCTGCTCAATCAGACTGCACCAAAGGACGAGGGTAATGCCCTCCCACTGACATTGCAGGGAATCCTTTTGTTAACCGTTTTCCATTTCTATGCCACAGAGCCAGTGCAGCGGGAGAACCTGAAGCGACGCGACTACAAGGTTGATCTGGACAGCAAATTGGGCAAAAGCGTTGTGATAAACAAAAACACACCTACCTCACAATCGGGCGGCTACTATTGCAATGTTTGCGACTGTGTTGTCAAGGATTCCATTAACTTTCTGGATCACATCAATGGCAAGAAGCATCAGCGCAATCTGGGCATGTCGATGAAGGTGGAGCGCAGCACCGTCGATCAGGTAAAGGATCGCTTTCAGCAAAACAAACAGAAAATGGCCGAGAAGCAAAAAGACTACGAACTGGAGAAACGGCTGCGCGAGGCCAAAGAGGAGGAGGATCGCTACAAGGAGCACAGAAAAGAGAAGCGAAAAGAGCGCAAACGCAAGGCCGAGGAGAACGATGAGTTTGCGGCCGGCCTGCCCGACGACATGGCCGCCATAATGGGCTTCTCCGGGTTCGGCGGCTCCAAGAAAAACTCATAGGCCTTCGCCCTTATCTAGAATATAGAATATAGAAACATTTTTCTACCAACGAAACCCGTTTACTGGGCTAATCGCTGTGACTGTGATTGGTTTGCGACATTTATTTCATTATATATATATATATATATATATATATTTATATGTATAAGACAATTTTACACCAGTTATTGTATTGTACAACAGCTCGATCAAGTAATCATTTAATAAGCAGTTAAAATGCAGAAAGGACTTGAACCATTTTTGTTCTCTCACTAATTCTTAAACTTAAAAAGACCCAAAAAAAAAACACACACACACACTCGAATACCATTTTTTTTGTTGTGACTGCCAAACCCAATCATACATATATTGAGCGGGGCCTTAAGTAAACACGAAGCCATGTTCAATGGGTATGTCCCAGGGAATGCTAAAGAACTCGCCCGGCAGCTGTGTGCAATGCGACGAGTTGTAATCGCGTAAATGCTTGCGCAACTGAGAATAACAATAAAATATCAATAAGAAGCAATAAATGAACTTAACTTAATTGAATACTTACCAAAAACATGGCCATTTGGCTGCGCATCTCATCACTGTAATCGGCTCCGATGAGCATGGGAAATGATTTGCCCTCGTCGGAGGCATAAGTTATCAGGCGCGACATGCACAGCTTCTCCTCGGCAACGGTATAGCTATAGGATTCCAGCTGCTTCGAGAGCAAAGCCTTGGCCAGCGACAGCTGTGTGGAGCCAAACAAGTTGGGATAACGATACTTGAGCACCGACAGCGCCAGATAATTGCCTCGATTCGTATCGATGCGATTGTCCCTAAGGAAAACAAATACGTTATTGATTTAAGCAAGCAAGTCAAGCGGAACGCTTACTCGGCAATTATCTCGTCCTCTGTGCGGCGTATTAAGAGTAATGGTCCATTGTATTTCTCTGCCAGTTCGGCATTATTCAGATTACAATATTTACGTATGGCGACGCGAACAATGCCGCCCAGGCTAGCGGGCATGCGCGGCTGGGCCAGGTAAAGCACATCGTCGAAGGTGGCGTCCAACACCTGAAATTACACAAGAGCGTGAAATTGGTATACATTTAAGAGTGGATCATCTAGCACGCACCACTCCCTTGACATCGGGATATATGGAGGCGGCCCACAGGGTGCTGTAGCCGCCAATACTCCAGCCATATAGGATGACATCCTCGACAGCAAAGCCCAGATGATTGATGGCAAAACGCACAACTGCATCGATGGCATTTTTATCCTGTTCCGGCTGCGGCTGACCCGTGCTGCCGGCAAAGCCCGGATGATTCCAGCCGAGCACCGAGTATTTCAATGCAATTGGCGTGGCCATGATGCCCACCTCATAGAAGCCAGCGTTGCCCTCGGAGCAGATGACCAGCGTCTTGCCGTTGCCGACATTGTCGTTGCGATTGTCAATGAAGAGTGTATCGATTTCGTTGGAATCAATTGTTTTCACCTTATAGCGTATGCCGTTGTCCTCCTCAATCAGTTTGGCACGTCCCGCGATCAACGCGGGTCCTGCAAGAGACAAGGATTAATAGGCATATGGCTACACACAGCAGGCGGAACATACTCATGAATTTCTGCAGCAGCTTGACGGAGCCGGGATAGATCATGGACAGGCCAAAGGTGTGTATGGCCACGTAGGCGATCAGCTCGCAGGGCAGTGTGGCAATGCTCAGGCTGTCGCGTCGGATTGCCGTGGTGGTTGGCTTCTTGGCATCGCTGTGGAGGAAAACGGTAGTTGGTTTGGCGCCAGCTTAGACGGCCTCCGGGGCTTGCCACACTCACCCCGCCAAGGCTTTCACATCGAAGTCCACGGGCCAGGCCGAGAAGTCAATGTCATAGCGACGCAGTGCATCCGAGGAACTGTTGACTTTCGCCAACGTCAGCGCATTTATCATGCTCGTATAAGCGCGCGATTGACGGCGACCAACGCCGCGCATAAACAGCGATATGATGACTATCAGACCCACGCTGGTGGTGAGCTTGGCCAGCGTCGGCATCGAATCGGCCACAAAATAGCCGCGTCTATACAGGAATGTAAAGATCAGCGGCGACGTGTAATAGCTGACGGACCACACGACCGACAGCTGTAACAAGTTAATCCGCATTAGTTTAATTATACCAACCACACACACACACACAAACAACACCCACCGTCGACAAGATTTGTTCACCAAACTTTTCAGCTGGGCCGGGCTCGTACATTTTCCGCTGCAATGACAAATCGGTTGGAAATTCTCATATTACCACACGGCGTGCGTCTAACATACCTGTGGCTCGTGCACGCCTCTGTACTCCATGTACAGCTTTGGCCCGAATATGTAATTGAAGAAACTCATCTTGAAATTGGTTTTGCGTCTGAAAATATTTTGGTTTTTTTTTTTCTACTATTTTATTGAATTGTGAAAGTTAGGGCCACTCGAACGCAATTTCAATATGAACTGGTTCTTTTTGCTTGCTAGAGATGGGCGCGTGTTTCTGCAGTTACGTTACGTGTTTTGGAATGCAAAAATCGAAATTTTATTCTACTTCGTCGTGCGACTCTTTATTTACAAATGATATTTTTGTTTTATTCATAGCACTAGCGTGACTGATACAGCAAAGATTGTGACAAATTAAAAGTTTTCTCATTTTCTGACTCAGTGAACTCAGTGTTGAGTAACCAGTTAAAGTGTGCCTTGCAATTGGCTCCAGTTCGATTATATTGCAGCCCTGGTTTGTGCAATTCGCAGCAGTCGATTTCAGATTTCAGCGAAACTTAAACCGGCAATAAAAATGGAAAAGTTTAACAAAGCGCAGGCCAAAAACTTGGCAGCCGCACAGAAGCTTGTGAACGCGTACGCCTCCAGCTCGGAGGATGAAGGCGAACTAGATGAAAAGCATATACTTGGTAAAAACACAATTCAAGCTGTGACGTGTCGTCGACCTTATCGACTCCCCCTACAGATCTTTTATACAAGCATTACCAGGCCTCAACGGAGGCTCCAAGTAGGGACAATGTGAATCGCACTGCCACATTCCTGGAGAACACGCTGCACTCGGGCGCGGCGACGTGCTTGATATGCATTGGCAGCATTCGGCGCGTGGAGCCCATTTGGTCATGCAGAAGCTGCTATTGCTTCTTCCATTTGAATTGCATTCAGCGTTGGGCCAACGACAGCGTCATGCAGCTGAAGGTCAAGGCGGAGCAGCAGCAGACGGGCCACTACAATCATCTGGGCGAGTATGTGCCGCCCAAGCGTCCGAAATCCTTGTACTGGTGCTGTCCACAGTGCCGCCGGGACTATCAGCCTGCCGATCGGCCCACACAGTATGAATGCTTTTGCGGCAAGGAGCTGAATCCGCAGCCACAGCCGTTTCTGGTGCCGCACTCCTGTGGCGAGATCTGCGCCAAACTGCTGCAGCCCAAATGCGGACACGACTGCAAGCTGCTTTGCCATCCCGGTCCGTGCCCGCCGTGTGCCCAGCTCGCGCAGAGCTCCTGCCTGTGCGGCAAGTCACCGAAGCGCAGCGTGCGCTGCATCGACAAGAACTGGCAGTGTCAGCAAAAGGTGAGCCTTGGTTTTGCAATTTGACTTATGATCCTCTAATATGAATCTCTATCTCTTCCAGTGCCAAGAGCTTTTGTCCTGTGGCAAGCACAAGTGCAACCAGCGCTGCCATCGTCCTGGCCAGTGCCCGCCCTGCAGCAGCAAGAGCTCACAGCCCTGCGAATGCAAGCGCGAAGAAAAGGTCGTCAATTGTGCCGAGCCCAAATGGAAGTGCAACAATGTAAGTCGAAGATTCTTTTTAACCAACCTGAAAAACCCTCCTCCTACTTTTCTATAACAACAGACTGATAAGATATTAATAACTTCATTTAACTTTTATTCTTTTAGATATGTGGTGCTCCTTTTGCGTGTGGCCTGCATACTTGCGACAAGGTGTGCCACGCTGGACCTTGTGGCGGCGGCGAGTGTCCTCTGGGCGTGCGCAGCTGTCCCTGCGGCAAGAGCGTAAGCAATAGGAATAGCTTCATAATTGATTTATGTACTAATTGAGCAATGCTTTACAGACCAGAGCTGGTGACTGCAGCGAGTTGGCGGAAACATGCGGCGACACCTGCCAGAAGCTGTTGTCCTGCGGCAAGCATAGCTGCGCCCAGCGCTGCCATCGTGGCGCTTGCAACTTGGTGAGCGACGCAGCAATTCAATTAAATATGCACAATATCTAATTATAGCCTTTATAGTGCCTGGTGCGCACCAAGAAGAAGTGTCGCTGCGGTCTGCACGAGAAGGAGCTGCCCTGCTCCAAGGAGTTCAACTGCGAAACCAAATGCAAGCAGATGCGCGACTGTGGCAAGCATGCCTGTAATCGCAAGGTATATCTCAGGCTATTTATACCCTGTAAACACGAAAGTTGTGAGGGTTTTGTTTAAATATGTAGAAGAAACAAAAACATGCACATTTGAAGCCGTAAAAACTATTGATTAGCAAACAAAGTCGAGTCAATCCAAGCTCTGCCTGCGTTTGAATTCCATAAACTTTTCGCTTATTACAGGGTATTTGCTAGTCCTTACCAATCGGTCTTTTGTTTGCTTTTTCCAGTGCTGCGGCGACCAGTGCCCGCCCTGCGAGAAGATTTGCGGCAAGCAGCTGAGCTGCAACAAGCACAAGTGCCAGTCGGTGTGCCACAATGGACCCTGTTATCCCTGCAAGCTGGAATCCCAGGTGAACTGCCGCTGCGGTAAGACGCGTCGCAGCGTGCCCTGCGGCCGGGAGAAGAGCGCTTGCATTGTCTGCCAGGAGCTGTGCCGGTTTGTAGCCAAATATATATATAATATATTTGTTTATGCTAATCTCAAGCCATTTGCCAATTGCCTGCAGCATCACGTCCAAGTGTCATCATGCCATAAAGCATCGCTGCCACAAGGGCGAGTGCCCGCCCTGCGTGCAGCCATGTAGCCTGCCCAACGATACCAGCGGCTGTGGACACATATGCAAGGCGCGCTGCCACGCAGCACTGCGTGTGCCCAAGCCAGCGGATGCGCCGCGTGCGCAGCAGCACAAGGTAGGCCTTCGATGTTGCCTTGAAGTTTCAACTTAAACACCTTTCCTTGCTTTTAGTATGAATACCGTTCGCTGCCGCATCCGCGCTGCGAGGAGGGCGTCCGCGTTGCCTGCATTGGCGGCCACGAGCTGGCCATCTGGCCCTGCTGGAACTCGAAGCCCACGTCCTGCCAGCGCAAATGTGCGCGTCAATTGAAGTGCGGCAATCATCGATGCCAACTGGTCTGTCACGCGGTGCCCCAGCCTGAGGACATGAACCAGCAGGCGGGCTGTGCCAATTGCGAGGAAGGCTGCGCCATACCGCGACCCCCTGGCTGCACGCACGCCTGCACCAAAGGCTGCCATGCGCCGCCCTGTGCTCCGTGCAGCTTTGTCATCAAAAGCAAATGCCACTGCGGCCTCAACCAGGTCATGTACAAGTGCAGCGAGTACTTCGATCAGGACGAGGGCAGTGTGCAGCAGACTCTGGAGCGCCGGAAAAAGTTTGGCAGCTGCGGCAATCGTTGCCTCAAAAATGTGCGTATTCCTTTGGCCACAAAGTGACCCACACTTTTAATCATATTCAACTCTTATACACGTAGTTCGAATGCGGCCATCGCTGCATAACCGTTTGCCATCCTGGCCCGTGTCCCAATCCGGAGCTGTGCCGGAAGAAGGTGCGCATCTACTGCGCCTGCAAGCGGCTCAAGTTGGAGATAGCCTGCGACAAGCATCGTGCGGGGCAAACTGAACTAAAATGCGATGCCAATTGTCTGGCAGAGCTGTCCAAGGCGAAGGCTACGGAACAGCAGCAGCTGGAACGTAAACTAAAGCAGGAACAGGAAAAGAATCGTCTGGAGCTGGAAAAATACGAGCAAAAGTTCGGCAAGCGCAAGCACAAGGAGCGCAAAGCTTTGGATGTGCAGCCCGCCAGCTATCACATCGATTGGCAACGTTGGGGCATCTATACACTGGCCCTGCTCGCCGTAATGGGCGCATTGGGCGTGGCATACTATGCGGACAGCTAAACACCAATAACGGACCAATAACAAATACCAAAAATATGATATTTGAATTTATATAAGAATCTACATAACCATAAACGACTGATATAACTGTTGGCGCGTGTCTTTTGAGTATTGTCTCGGCCTGGCCAAGGATTTCAAGCTGTCTTCGTCTTCTGCTTGTAAACGCAGGCGGCGGCAAACACGCTCGAGCTGAGGAACGTGGATATCAGGAAATTCGACAGCAGCATCCAATCTTGCGACTGCACAAAAACCGTATAGATGCGGGCTAAAATTATAAACAAGTTAAGATTGATTTCGATAAACCAGTTTTATGTACACATACTCATGTTTGTGAAGGCGGACAGGGCCCACGTGGTGCGGCTCACGGAGCTGGCATCCTTTGTGCGCAATATGGCCAGAAGCTGCAGCACCTTGCTGGTGGCTCCAATGGGCGTGCAGAAGGGCTGTCAAGAAAAAATGGTCATCAAATTCATATGACGGAAATCTTTACTAGCAGAAATGACAGCTGTTCGCCTTGGGCAGCGTTTACTGTATTTTATACACAATATAGCCGTGTTTGTGATCAGCGAGAGCATTGTATGTGTATAAATAGAAGCAGCACAAATATTATACAACAAACACACACATGACCTTCGGCAATGATGATGCCCAGTTCAGATCAGTTCCGAGCGCCTCATTATGCTCAGCTCCAATGGCAATAAGAACAAAACCTAATTAGTTAATGTAAAACGAGTTTGAGCCCAACTTGTTATCTGGTCGAAGCACATTCTAATCAATTTCGCAGCTGTTCTATTGACTACGTTTGTGGGGTCAGATAATGGTCTCTTACTCACCACCAGGAACGTGAGGACGATAATGGGAAAGAGCTTTAGATAGATAAGCGTTGCAATCGTCACGTAGAAGACGGCAAAGATTTGTGTACGCTTGCCCAGCATATCCTGATATTTGAAGACATAGTAGATGAGCACATATTCCTGCAGCAGCAGCACAGGATACTCCATGTAGGATAGAAAATCATAGCCTGCGGTGTAATTGTAGGACATCATAACGGTATAGCTGAACAGTTCCAGGCATAGGCCAAGGACGCTGATGCCTGCCGAAAAAGAGTGAGAAAGCAAGGAATCAAGTGAGTGGGCGTTAATAACACTTGTGGGGGGGGGGGGGGGGGTCTTACCTTTGGACGATTGGTTTTCGCGTATTGTGTTTATTTGCGGCACTTTGATGACCAGGCAGGAGGAGACCGTTATTAAACTCAGCAGATCAGCAATTATAAGCACTATTCCCTTGTCCAGGTAGTGGGACACAATGTCCCCAAAGCCCTCGGACGCCACCGTTGTAGCCATTGCAGCAGCCAAACTAATATTAATTGGCCTTTTGACTTGATTTAAACATAAGCAATCGATTGCGGGCGGGCCTGTGTATCGATATGCAGCTGTACACAGCATTATTCCAAGCAAAGTCTTAAATCAGTAGAATATACGGACGCTCTGTTTTGTTGTTGCTCATTCAGTCAGTTTGGCATGTTTCACACAATTAAAAACATTTTTTTTTAAACAAAATAAAAATAGTTCCCAATAACTTATGTTATCGAATAGCATCACTCGATGGTATCGCTGCGGCTGCTGCTGTTCCGACTATCGATATGTTAGCGTTGCGGGCAACGTATCGATGCTTTGTCTCGATACTTTGGTGCTGCTGACATACAGTGGCAGCGCAGCTCAAGTCATTTAGTTATTTTTCTGTCTGAATTTAAGAATTTTTGTTTTTGTTTGTCAGAATAATACTAATACGGTTAACACAAAATAATAATTCTGGAGAGCTGACGGCACATTGAAGAAAACGGCAGAGAAACGTACGTTGTAAATTCAATTAAACGTGTGCTCGGTGGCAAATGCTTCTTGTGCATGGGCAAGTGTGTGTATATGTGTGTGTGCGTGAACTAAACGCAAAAAGTGTAAAACGGATGAAATAGTTAAACAATTAAGATCAAATGCAATTGCATGCCGCAAGTGTATACCAAATATATGAATTCTGTTGTTCAAAGTGCACAAATAAAGCTATCTAGGGGTAAAGTAAGCTCATTTTCTTATGCATGTCGTGACATTTGTTCTGCTGTATGTGTGCATGCGTGCGTGTGTGTGTGTATGTGTATGTGTGTATGCATACGACATCCGACGTAGTCGCTTTTGTATGTGTACAACAATGTTCACATTTTTTCTTTTGTTGCTTGCTCCACGAATAATGGGGCTGGCTCTCGCTTAGTGCAGGTGCAGAAAAGTGGGGTTAGGGCCAATACAAATCAGTTATTTTCTATTTTCATGCTAACTTTAAGGATTTTTTTCTTTGATTACCCATTACCCCCAATTCCCATGGTCATTTGGCTATGTATCGTACATAGAATGAAAAAACAATTTGTGCCTTGAAAACGACATTAATGGATGACAAGCGAGGGTCGGGGCATTCATGCTGCTCGCTTTAGTCCTGTGTCTTGTCGTGGTCGCAGCACAGGTAACACGAATGCCGTGTGAAAGCGGACACAAAATGAAGCAAAACTGAGACTGAAAACGTGGACGGAGACCCTTAAACCTTCAGAGGAGGTCAACAGCCATTTTTGAGAAGGGGAGGGTTTAGACGGCGCAAAGCAGCGACACATTCTCGTGCACATCTGATCTGCTTTGCGCGTGATGCAACACAGGATCAACACATACATGCACGTGTTTTGCGCCTGTGTGCGTGTGTGTGCGATGAAAATTCCTATGCGGATCGGCCTTTGTTATTCGACTGCAGCCCTGCAGGCCTGCAGTGATCCCTTTTTCGTTGTATGTACGCGTGTGTACTAGTGTGTGTGTGTGTTGGTGATGCTGTGCGCGAGAGTGAGCGAGCGAGTGAGAGGGCGAGTCTGAGACTGATGGTCGACGCTGATGGCTGCGTTGTGAGCGAGCGAGAGAGAGAGTAAGAGAGTGAGAGCAGAGAGCGCAAACAGATAGCGGCTTAAATTGCAAGGTGTACGCTATCGCTGTCTTTGCTGCTGCTGTTGTTGTTGTTGTTGTTGGTGGTGTGTATCTTTATTGCTTCTTCTTCCGTCCGTTACTTTTGCTCTTGTCATCGCATGCCTTTACCTTTTCAGCCAGGCCTGCCTGGGCTACTGATCTGTGTGAGTACATGTGTGTCTGTGTGTGTGTATGTGTGTGGGAATGTGTGTTTGTATGTTTGTTGTAATACCCGTTTCATCTTCTTTGCCCATTCTACTTCGCGCCGTTTTAGCTTCTTCCGCCGATGCACTTTTGTGATTTCCTTTGCCAGTTTTTGATTGTTGAGACGACGGCTGCTGCGACGGCGGCTGCGTCTGTTGTTGTTGCTTTACAAACATTTTTCCCACTGCTTTTCTTTTGATTTTTTTTTTTTTTGTTTTCGCAATTCTCAGTCTCATCTTCATCAGGCGAACGTTGTAGGGAGAGTGAGGGAGAGAGAGAGAGAGAGACAACCGACAAGAGACAGCAGAAAAGTGCCTGCACACGATCTCCTCTCATCGTGCTTATTACTTTTGCCGTTTGCCTCTTAGCCCATGCTTCGCGTTGCGTGGGAATTTTTACAGAGCGTCGCAGTCGCAGTCGCAGCCAACAGCGGCTCGTTCCTAGCGGGTTTTTTTTTTGCTGCTAGAAAAAAAAAAGGATAGCTTACAAGTTTAACTGCGACGCCTTTTTATTTATTCAAGTAAGTTGAAGATTAGTTATATTTGTCGCCGGATATTATTAGTTAATTATGTGTTTAAAGAAAGCGTAAGAAAGCTAAGATAAACTGGTAAAAAAAAAACCATCATTGTCCTAGATCCAAGGATATTTCTACTGTGAGAACTCCTAACGTCTTTTATATTATCTTTCAAATGTTCACTATATATCGAAGCAATTTGTAACTGCTATGGCTTCCATGTATATGTTGGATTTGAACCGGCAACCGTAAAGTTGGGGCAATTCGCGCTATATACAGTGAGCACTTTTAACGGACATACTTCTATTATATTATCTCTAAAATGTTCCATTGTCTTTGGATTCTATGTTGGATTTGAACCGGCGACCGTTTAGTTTTTGCCACAGCAAGGACACTCTATTTTATATTATCTCTAAAATTGTAACTGTATATACCAAAAACATCTTAAATTGTCTACGATTTCTATGTTTTATGTTGGATTTGAACCGACGACCTTCTTGTTTTTGCAATTCGCGCCACAGTGAGAACTCCCAGCGAACACTACTATTATATTATCCCCCAAATTTTCACTATATATATACCAAAACGTCTTAAATTGTCTATGGATTTCATTGGATTCCATTTTCTATGTTGGATTTGAACCGGCGACCGTTTTGTTTGTGCAATTTGCGCCATATACACTGAGAACTCTTAACGGACAGACTCATAGATTATATCCCCTACATTCTCACTATATACATATATATATATATACCAAAACATCTTAAATTGTCTATGGATTTTATGTTCCATGTTGGATTTGAACCGGCGACCGCATGCTTGTTACTCTGACCCTTAGGGCCTAACCTTTGCAAAGCCCGTTTTTAGACGTTTTCACACAAACTTTCCCACTTGAAGGTCGAATATTCCACAATCCCGTCTGCTCCTTTTTCGATCCACAAGGAAGCTCTTCCCAAGTCTTAAGCTGTGCCTTGATTATTCTCAATCAGGAGAAACTCCTTTATGAGTGAAGCTTTCGAGCTCGACTAAAACCATGTAGACGTTGCTTTCAATGCCCAAAAAAACTAGACTTAAAGCCAAATGTGTTGTTAACTTGCAGGAGAGGAAAGCAGCAGCAGCAGCAGTGCACGCAGAGATTGACTTCCCGCCGCGCATAGTGATAGTATTATGGAAAAAGGATGTTCAGTTGCTAGCAGTAATTGTGAAAGTGCCGAGGACGACGCTCAGCAGGAGAGGAGCAGCAGCAGTAGCAGCAGCCGAACTGGGAGCAAACTAAAGCCGCTAACACCTCAAGAAGCATCACAGCGACAGCGACATCCACAGCCAAAGCCAAGCACTAGCCAAGCGAGATTAGTAGTAGCTGAATCTATGTCCAAGTTGAGGGAAGACGTGGAGGACTGTGTCTCTTCAAATTCGCAACATGGCTTTGCCGTCGTGCTCGATGATGAGTCCAGTACAGAGACGGGCGTCCTCGAAACGTACGAGATAAGCTCTTCCAATTCACTGCCCACCAGCACGGGGGGCGGGGCTGCTTCGACAGTGGGCGTTGTGGTGCCAGTCGACGATAGCTCCTCGACAGATACGCTCAATGGCAACGAGAACGGACGCAGCGAGGATGATGCCGCCTCCGAGGAGCGCCAGTCCGTTTTCTTCAATGTCAACGATACAGAGCCGCCCGTTGTATGCCTTATAAACGATGACGATGATTTCGATGAGGAGGAAATTGTCGAGGAGGAAGACGACGATGACGACGACGACGACGAGGAGGTGCGCTCCATGCCCACAGACTGCCCCAACAATACATCACAGATCGATGGCAGCGCCGGCATCGGTTGCTCCGCTGACGGCATCATCACAACAGCCGATGGCTCCAAAATATTCCTGGAGACACCTGTTGTCGACGAACCGCAATCACATACTCATGCCAGCGCCACGGCCGGCAATCCGGCTGCCACATCCGAGCTGCTCGCAGGCAAACCAAAGCGGCTCAGCGATGAATTCGAGGCGGAGGAGCAGAACGCACCGCCCCAAGGAGTTAAGTCTGAAACGGAATGCGGACAGGCGGATGTGGCTAGCAGCTCGCTGCACGACAGACAAATGTCCGTGCGGCTCAAGCAGATGAGCCTGACGGCCAGCGCCGAGGCGACGGCAGCCGCCAGCTCGACCGCCAGCAACAGCTCGAGCACCTTGAGCCAGGCGGACATTGACTCCATGGATCGCATCGAGCGTTGCGATTTCGAGACCGAACAGCGACTCACCGGCGGCATTATACTCGGCACAAGTTCGCTGATAAGCAAAAATCGCCTCAATCTAAGTCTGATCAATCGTGCCGCAGCAGCAGCAGCAGCAGCTGGAGCTGGAGCTGGAGGAGGTGCAGCAACAGCTGGAGCTGGCGGCGGCAGCGATGATTGGCCCAGCAGCAGCCAGGCGCGCGCCTTCTCCTCGGATAGCAAGGTAAATTAAGAAATGTAAAGAAATTTATAAAATTGTGTAATCCATGAGCAGTAGAATCTATAGCTAGCTACAGATAACTATCTAGGAGAGTCTGCGATCTCTGCTTTACCAGGACGAGCTGAGTAGATGCCAGGTCTTTGCTGTCTGTCCGTTCCTGATCGGAATCCTGCTTTTGGAGCATAGTTGAGGGCTTCTAAGAGGCACCCAATATGTTATCTAGACTGTTCTTATAAACATATCGATGCAGATCCCGCTTCCCCGTTCAGGGAATCTGTTGTTCCTCTTTTAAAATATCTAATTGAATCTCCTTCTTGTAGTGCACGTACAAGGATCTATCGACGACGCCGACGAGCAGCCGCAAGTACACGAACAGCCGACTGAGCAAGTCCACTGCCAAACTTAATTTGGGCTCAACGCTGGATTATGCTATTGCTGCCTGCCCTCAGCACAGTTCCAGCACCAATTCCAAGATGCCCTTTGTGGTACTCGTCAAGTCCTCCAGCGTTAACAGCAGCGGCAGCGGGAGCAGCAGCAGCAGCAGTAACGCATCGACTTCCACCAGCAATCGCACAGATGTCTACACGAGCACCAACTCGAATGACAACCTGAACGCCTCCGCGACAAGCTGTCAGCAGCAGTCGGACAAGGACGCAGCCGCGCCACTGGCCACATCCTTCAGCTCGGTGGGCTCACAGACGAGTCAGGAGTCTGGCTGCAGTCGCACCAGCGTGCTGGCCAAGTCGCTGGACGTGGATGCACAGCCATCGACCTCGGCCACATCGACCACATCCTCGGCGCGTTGCCATTACGCAGCGGCGACCGTGAAGGCGGCCACAAGG